GCCGCTGCCGCCCTTGGCAAACTTTAGGCCGTGGTCAGCGCGAAACGGCTTCGTGCGCTTGTCTTATCAACCTGTCAATCGCTCTGTACGAGACGCCCTTTTCTGATCCCTCTCGACCGCCTTGTTTGAAAAATATTGTAGATATCACCAGTCGACTGCAATCTATTGCTGCTACCACCAGTGCTGTGTCAGTGACTGTGAGACATGGGCTGGGAACGGCATCTTAATTGCTTTCGCAAAACGTTCCCAAGTGGTGTCGTATCAGCGTAAGACTGCGGCAAAATCAACAGCGCAAAACCACGGCCCCCGGGTCGACTTTTAACAAGCTGAAAATAAACGCAGTAGAGTGATGCGCTGGATACAGTTACACGTTAAGTATCGTATTTTAGGCCAGACAGCAAATGTGGCCTGTTGAAATTGGTCTAATGCGGTGGTAGATTGTAATTGTGTCCCAACTGCATTGCACGATTATTCATTGAACCGTCACTTCCTGCACAATGCCAAATTCGAGGCCAACTAGTGTGCCTGCTATGAGTATGCGTAAAAGTAAAGCTTAAAATCGATCTATACGTATTCGGTGTATGTATTGCTTTCGACACCTAAGACATTCTTGCTAGCTGCCTGACACAACGACACAGAATGGCTGTGTCGGCCGTTCGTACCACTACTATACGTACGTCTTGCTGTCTCTTCCTCGTCATGTTTCGGTAGACAGATTGTTTAACTAGACGGGCAGGCGGGCGGGCGGGCGTTCGTGCAGTCAGCCACCCAGATTTCGCAGAATAACTTGAAAAATACTTTTTTGCGGCGTCAGCCACTCACGACGCGGATCGGCCAACAACATCGGCTTGTTCTTTCGTTTCGTCGTCATCGAAAAATTGGTCCTGTCTAGACTGTAGCAGCTATCATCGCAATAGTCCTCGACTTCGCTCGATCCTTCATTGCTTGCGGCGCTCCTCGCATCATTGCCATCACCAACGTCTATTAACATATCTGGGTCACTTTGACAGACGGCGAAAATGAAGGCGATGACACCAACAGAAAATAAAGATCGGTCAGGGAGCGAGAAACTACTGGGTGACCAGTCAGGCGCTCAGGTCGTTGCGGGAATAATGGACAGAGGCAAATTGAACTGAATCATCCGACAGTAAAGGGACGACCGAGGAATATAGTAGATTCCAAGAGGACGAAACACGAGCAGGAGCAGCAGTAGAGGCAACGGAAGCAGAATTAAATACCAGCGGCGACGCTGAGTCTGATCGGTGCCCAGGTTCTCTCCGCTTGCTATCTCGTATGGCTAGGTCTTTATCTCATCCTGCTTTTCAACAAGGAATCGCCGGTAGAAACAGTACAACACAGCTGTAAGCTGGAGTGGAGGAGCGGAAGTAGCGGTCGCGTTGATCAGATTAACTGCAAGCCTATGACGTATTGAAGTCTAAACAGAAAAGCTGGCTGATTTAGAAAAACGCAAGCTTTGGTATTACTTCGTCAGTAATACCTAATTAGGTTCAGGCAAGGATGCAGAGCGAAATGACAATGGTGAAGAAATCGAGCAGGAATGAAATTAGTGGAGTGCTGACAGCAGTCAGAGATAGAAACGATTTATTCCACGTGTGGTGAAACTACATATGTGTTCAGAGTGTACCTGATAAACTAAGACGCGTATCAGCGGGGACACGTAGTAGGAACTGTAGCAGACGTTTGTAGATCATTTAATACTATCAAGCCTAAAAGCCTACTATAAAGCCTACTAAATATAGCCTAAAAGAAGGTAATTTCTTCTAGCAGCTTGGCCATGGTAGTGACAGTAGTTCTGTTTTTTGTAATAGTGACCAAAAATAAGGTTTCATTGAGTGACTCTGCATCGGATGAGCTTCTAGCAAGCTGCAATCTTTATATATATATACTCTGAAACCGCGCTCTTTGTTCCGCTTCATGATAATCTGTATAGTACTGTGCGACGATAAGGCTGTTTCAACAACTGAAAAAAACGTCTGAAGCGTTGCGTCTGATACTGGACTTGAACACCGGATCAAAGAGAAAGCTGAACTTCTGCGCTAAACAAATTGCGTTCGCCTTTAATCTTAAATCCGGATTTCGTCACATATATTTCAAACATTTGTTTCATGTATTTATATGATTACAAATTTAGCTGTCTGAGAGTTGGGCGACAACGACAACATTAATAGCTACCTAACACAAGCTTGATTGATTTCAAGTCCTGTTTTCTAGTAATCGTTATATCCGAATATAACCTTTCTAGGCCAAAATTTATGCCGAATATCTGACGTGTACTTTGTGGACGAACGGAACAATATTCAACTCAAAAAATCAACGCGCGTATCAGTGTACTCGTAAAAAAAATGTTAGTTATACCTTGTAGCTATAGTTATCGTTGCTTCGACTGGGCTTTCACATCTCGGTCACGTCAAAAACATTGGTCTGGGGAGGATTCGAGGAAGTTTTTCCTCGGCAATAAAGACAGTGGAGGTTGATTTTTGGTTGGAAAGCCATTTAGCGGCCTGATTTTTGCCACCACAAAAAATTTGTACCCGTGTGGTTCTTTTGCGTTGATTGTTTCGACTGCATGTATAGATAAGTATTTTAGTAATGGATGAATTTTTTTTGCTTGCATGGCCGTTTGAAAAACAACGTATGAGCCGTAAGCGCGCTGTACATACACGTCAGCGTGTAAAAGCCATTCCACCCATAGTCGTTCGGCGAATTTGTTGGTCGAGATACATTGAATGTGAATTGGTAATTGGGTGCTGCGTGTCTCATCGGCCCGACCAGGAAAACGCAGCAGTTCTCGTTAGCAGTAATGACAAAGGAAGACTAGATTGGTAGAAGAAGCTTCTAACAGTAGTCTAATAGATTTTACGACCTTCTGTCTTCATACTGCCTTACTTGCACTTGCTCATTTTTCGAATTGGTATGTTTATCGAGATCTGACGTAGGTGTTTCCATTTACCGACACTAACATGTCTATCGGCGTCCGATCCGTGGTTGACTGGAAAGATGAAATTGTGAGAAACAGCTTGGTATAGATATAACATTGCTCGCAGCCGGAGTAGTCTTAGGCTGACGATTAAATTAATAGCAGCAGGTACAGGTTATTCTCCTTTAAATTGCTATGGTTGTCACTGCCGTGTGCTTCTCCTTTTTAACGTCGCTGGCAGCCACCGAACGACCTTTTTCACTTCGAATCTTGTTGGTTTGATGCGTAATTCTCGGCCCGCTCCTGCTGGTTATTGGTTAGGCTCCAATCGGAAACACCGTCATGGCAATCAGACCGGTGGTTCTCAGCACTCAAGCGTTTCACTGTTCGATCTAGGCATATATATCGAACGGCGAAAGCAACTAGAAGTAATGGCTGAATGATGCGGCTTTCGTCTGTGTCAGTTAGATATGCATGTCCTTGCTGCGTGCTAGGGTTGAAGCCAGCATATAATATCGATGCTGAGTGGTCTGATCTCCTCTACCATAAACGCTTCTAAGAGAAACGAATGCGGTGGGGCAGGCTGGATCTGCGAGTTCAACAGTTTTGCTCAGAACCACAGTTGAGTCACAATGCACACGCAAATGGTCGTTATTACCGTCTGCTGTTATCACGCCCACACTCACCGTGCGGTATAGCTGTTACAACAAAACAAACTATATAGTACTTTGCTAATTTATATATAGGAAGTGACAGGATGTTAACTAGACGATTGTACATATAGAGCTATTAAAGGACACTTAATATTGCTGAAATATTCGTTTTGGATAGTTGGAATGTCCTGTTTTATATAATTTTAGATCATAAAATGGGTAACGGTTGGTCATTTAATCGTCGGCAGGTACTTCACGCGGATAGCGGATTTAACAACTTCGTAGAACTGAAAAAAGTTTTAGAATATCAAGCCCTAAGACACAACATGATGTTTTCACCGTTCATGTTTTGACCTTAAAACTTAGATGTGTATTAGCGGTGTCACAGTTGCCACATTGAGTTTTTGGTCGCTTTTTACACGCCAAAATACTTCTCCTTAGGAGTAAATATATGTACTGCAGTATATAAAAATAACGCTTCTCGATGCTTTGTGGTTTCTGTCAGAATTTTTTTGCGATAATATTTTGTACTATCTGTTTGTAGAAATCTACTTGAAATATCGTTCGAAACGATCGCTCGAAAGTGGCTTTCGTCCCACTTACAACGGACCCGCTTCAGTTACCCTGCTCAACATGTCTCATCCTCCTGATAACATATTATGGCAGTCTTGCTGTCACACTGCAGTTTTCTGATCAGTCTTTTCCACTATTTGATTCGTGTGGCACGTAATCCTTAACGTATGCATCCTGTTTTCCCGTTTCAATAAATCCAGCCACCCGAAAAAAGTTTTCGTCATGTAGAAAAACCTGAACCATATATGCCAAAATGGTTTACATATTATCAACCTATCTGTAATAGAAACAAATTAACATCACACATCCTATAAAAAAAGAAACTGCCTCTCGGAAAAAACGCAAAAATTTCTGCTTATATGTAATCAATTATAAACCCTTTCGGCAAAACTCATCACTCGACGACTGAACCGTAAAAATGTAGATAATCGTTCGCAAAGTTTAACTTGAAGCCCAGTTTAGAAAGTTTAAAAAGTAGCTGTCCAATTTAAGCTCTTCATAAAATGTTAATGGTTATGAAGCAAATTGCCGAAAAGTATCATTTCCTCCAAATTAACACAACACCATATGGACAAAGGAGAAGTGTAACCCTTTACGGTAAAAAGTAATTATATGGTCGGCTATATATCAGGCGAATTAATTTTTCACGGTGAAACTCCGCCAAAAATGTACTTAATTCGACTACCTTATGGGCCTGAATTAAACAAACAAACAGCCAACTACAGAGTTTCAGTCGTATATATATATATATATATATATGTTTTTTATGTTAGGCTTCAGCACCGATATTTCATTCCCTCAGCTGAAATGTATACTATCCAATTGCCTTTTTTTAGTTCACCGAACGACTACCAGACTTCAGCTTCCAACAGCAACCTCTATTACTACTATTATCCTGCTGGTGGTCAACATGGTGCTGGTAAGTCAGAATCATCGCCGGCCGATCCCTACCAAACATCGGCGGCTTCATCTTACCCGAGCTACGCAGCCGAAGGCTCATCGCACGGCCACTCTCCTCAGCATTCATCGGCCTTTGACGGTTCAGACGGCAGCTCCTCGTACCCAGGCTCAGCGGCCTACCAGAGTCAGCTGCAGCAGGCTTACGCAGCTGCCGCTGCTGCCCATCACGCCCACCAGGGTCAGCAAGGATACGGCCAATACAGCCCGTCACTGGTTGGAGCCGCGTCGCAGGTGAACACGCAGTACGCAAACGCTCCTGCTCCCACTGCTTACCAAGGGCAGTCTAGTTATGGTGGGCAGGGACCCTACCCTGCAGCATCAAACTTCCAGACATCATACGCCCCCGCTAGCGCTGATTCGAAGAGCCGCTTCTACGGTCTAGGCTCCGTCATTATGCCCCTCGTCGGACTTGGTGCCCTCGCTTTTCTCCTGCCCTCGGTGACCAACCTCGGTGGCAAGAAAAAAACTAAACGTTCCGCTGATCTCATTGAGCCATCCAAGTAAGTCTAATAACACATTGTTCTCCACTTTGTCAATCGTTTTTGCTATAGATAGCATCATAGAGATCCGCTGAATCAACACGAGCATTTTACTGGAACTTTCATTATATGATACCTGTATAAATTAATATATAACAGATAAAAGACAAATAAATTAATCCGAATGTCTGAAATTTGTCGACTGAGTTCCTGTCAAAGACACAAGCAAATTAAATATTTGTGATTCGATTCCTTGTACATTGTAGGGCCAATGGCGTAGCTGAATATGCCGAACGTCTGGAGAAATACTTTAAGATCTATCGCGCTGCTGTCGAAAGCGATGATTGTATGAACCGTATCGTGTGTGAGATCGGCGACTCCGTATCCACCGTTCGTGGAAAGGCCGCTCTTCTCGCGTAAGTATCCGACCTGCAAATATTGTGGAACTGTTGCTGATTCAGCCATGCAAACGTTCGCTTGATAAATATCTAATTTTTGTCAAGAAGCCTGATTTTCTATGCCCTCCACAAGACTAACATGAGCCGCTTTCTGTATTCGATTTTTCTTTTTCTGTCTTGCCCCCCAGTCTGTTCGAGAAAGTCGCTCCGCAGTGGATGACGAACAAAATGGGTGTATTCAAATTTGGCGCTCTCAACGAAAAGACGGCCAAATGCGCTCGCTACAAATGCTGAAGAGGAGAAATTACCCGCTAAGTGCTCCAAAAGTGGACCAGTGCTTGTGGCACTCCAGGCAGCACTGTTATCGAGCAAGCACTCTAAAAACACTAAACAAACTCAAGCAGGCGCACACGAGCTCAATAGAACCACCGATCGATCAACCATCAACTCAATTAATCAATCAACTCAGTTACAAATCCCACATCCTGTAGTTATTTATTTCGGTTCAAACGTAATGTGGGCTTCTTTAGACATTAGCCGATAACAATAACCTGTTGTGAGCCTGGTTTTGCGAACTATTCTGATTTCTTTCGAAAATTAAAAATAAACATTCGATCGAGTCGGAAACGTCAAGCTACCCCAAGATATTCTATCAGCATTATGTAGAGAGCCTACTTTTCGTTTGAATCCATGGTCATCTTCATCAATTCATAGAGAAACCTTCGCGTCCAGCCAACAGTGCTTAGTTCCGCGGTCCGGAGGTGCAGTCTAAAAATGCATCTAGAGTCGTTTTTCCCCTTGCTTAGGCCTCCACTAGTGAACTCAATAAGACTCGAGTTGGCCTGAGGAGACAAAGCATTTATCTTCCTACGCCCCCATACCTCGGAACGTATGGTACTGTCGAGGAGCTCGCGACCTCTACTATTCACAACAACAATGAGTCAGATCGACTGCCCAACGGCTGTTTTTTGGTCGATCTATTTTTCATACTTCCTAGTTCTCTATATATCAGTAGTAGCTGTTATATGTTTCATTCACGCTTGCCTTCTGCCGCCCTTGCTGCCCCATCGCCTTCAAGCATTAATGGCAACTCCTATAACAAACATATTGAGATTAATAATAATACTTTAAGAAGAAGGAACGTATGTCGAGCAGTACTGGCAGAACTAGTGGATTTTGCCTTGGTCGTAACACGTAACATAGAACACGTCCTATTTTTTCTATGGTCTTTGCTGTCGTCGTGGTGCGATCAATCGTAACCCAATCAGCCAATTAAAAAAACGTCAAATCATTTTCCCGTAATTTATTTAATTTTCCTATATACACCACCATTCAGCCTAATCGTCCAGACTAGCAGCAGCACCTAGATTTACTACTGAACATTGAATGAAGAATTGATAAGCGAAGTGTACGGCACGTACATGACAGATGATTATTTTTGCTCGTATTATGACTCGCAGCAGTCTGGATAACCAGAAACTGACCTTTTTCTTAACTTGATAAAGATTCGCCACCATGAGGTGCGCTCTTGCATTGGTCCACCGTTACTATATTAAGATAGTTTCATGATCCTTACGTTGTAGTAATGACGTCTAGGTGTCTTCAGTGTAATCGGTGGACCTTCGCAAGGTGGACCTTGAGCGTGCATGATCGAACATCAAAAAATAAAAGGAACAACAATGCGATTATAGAAAACCACTATACATTGCGTAGATTGTGAACAAATCCCGTGCAACGAAACATAGCGAGAAAGACGAAAAACAAGTGGATACATTTGTAAAGCTAGAAAACTAGTGACACACGTGCAAACATGACGAGGAAGAGATTGTCCACGCCAGATGTGCTTAGCTAAGAGTCTCGTCTACGACTTCTCGGCGGTACCTAGTTTCGGCCCGCTTTCGAGCCTTAACGCAAACAAGGTCACATTGAGTGAATATCGGCCAACAGCATCTAGTAAGCCAATGTCCGTTGGCTTTCATCGATCCGCGTTGGTGGGCTAGGGTCCCACATCGGTTTCTTGCTTGTCAAGAGAAGTGAAAGCGAGCCGAAAAGTAGTGCTCGAACCGAAACAAACCGCAAACATGAGCAGATAGATATGAGAAAAACGGACATGAATGATTGAATAGGCCGCGAGCAGGAAGCTAAACTTACGGACCGAGCGTTTACCTGCCGTTGCAGACTTGAGCGATTTCCTCCGTGCGGCAACTTTCATCGAGAGCTTCATTTAAGTCAATGAAGCATTTCGATGAAATGCATCGAACCACTTTAGAATTATTTAATAAACATTTGATGGGTACTTCTTATCTGACACGAAAAAATGGTCACACGATCGAGCGGAAAAGTAAACAAATAACAAAAAATAGAACAGGGTCGAAAGCCCCGCCGGAGGAAGCCTGCAGCCTTTGCCACGTGTCAAACTCAAACGACGACTTTCAACTGCAGCGGTAGGGTAAAAGAAAAATGGCAAAAGCAAAAAATATATAATGAACATTAGACGAGACGGACATGCCCTGTGTCGACATCCCTCTGTAGCTAAAAACTCGACATTTCTCTCCGTATGTAATTATTATAAATAATTAATTAAATATTGATAACATGGAATTATAAGAACCAATAAAACAAAAAATCCAATGTTGAATATTTCCACTGCCCCGTTCTTCTTAGTTAGATTGATTGCCGCTGTAACTTTTTTTTGAACATCAAGAATTCTGCCTGACTTAAGCTATGCAGGCGAGGAACAAGTAGCTAACTTATAGCTGAGACTGTTTCACATATATGCCAAGCATTTGAGTGAAGTTTATTAACAAAACGGTGCTTTTTAAAATAGTTCATGCTCAGGGGGGGCGAGGGGGTTGGCTCACTTCTGCTAACGGACGTTTGCGAATTTGCTTCGCCAACACTGGGTTCTTGCCTTTTGCGTGATCTGACCTTCACTAACTATCGCTTCTCGGAGCATTTTAACCAGTTTTTCTCTTAAAAGGGATGTGCAAAGGATAATTAGATATCCCTACGGTGTCTCTATGTCCCTCTTGATCATTGATGACCGAATAATGTATCTCCTTTTATTGCACAGGAACTCTTGTATTTAAACGTTACTTTTCCGTATTCATACAGTAAATCGACGAACTCTCGAAAATGAACAATCGCGTATAGTATATAAAATTGTACGAGTTCTTCCGAGATCAACTCAAAATAAGCGTAATTTTTCTAACGTCAACAACTTTTGTCTAATCGATTATACTTCGGTCAACTTCGCCTCTAAGTACACGTTTTTTACCGCAAACGAAACTTAGGTGCGTCTTTTTCTAAACAGCACGAGCCATCATGGAAAATGATAACGTTTGTAGACAAGATTCGTAAAGTCATCGAAAACATTGTTAGCCACTTACCTATTTCAGTAAGTTATAGCGCCATATATAAGTTGCGACTGTATTGAACATTTTTACGCATGTATAGCAAATATACTTGACCCAATCTTCACCAGACAGTATTCAGATGTATTTTTCACGGCTATCGAATACAGGGTATTTTCGAGGTAAACGATGGCTCGACGCTGATGAAGAAGTGCATACCTTTACGAATTGGCCTTAGACACAAAGAAATTCTTGAATTTATCTATGCAAAACCTTTGACTAGAACTATTTTAATACATAATAATAATTACATTTCACTACTACGGTGAATGTTGTGCAGAAGTGTGAACTTTTTGTACCATTAAATAAGTTCTTACAAAAAACCCAGCTAGTGTTTCCGGCAAACCAATGCAAATGCTCACTAGTACTGTTAGATTTAACTAAATGAACAGCAAGGAAAGAAATAAAAGGGTGAGCCAAGAGAAACGGCACGATACAGTCTGCCGGTCCGAGACAAAATAGGCACGTTCGGTTCTGTTAGGAAACGGTAGTCGCACAAGATGGTGACTGAAGTTAGAACCGAAAGTTTATTCTGTGGTGAGAGCTGACGGTACCGAATACTGATGGTCGAATGCCTCGAGTGCCGCACGTAAGACACGCAAAACATTCGTGCATGGAGCTGTGCCGTTTAATAAAGTAAGTAAGTAAATAAAATAAAGAGACATACCACGGATGTGGACAAAGATACGCTAGCTAACTGGCCGTTCCATTGAAGCATCTAAACAGGGCAATTACTCGGCAGAAGTTAACAATATGCCCCTTATATGGTATAATAGAAAAATATGATCAAAGCAATAATGCGAATTATATGGATAGTACGAATGAGTGTTATAGTACCAAAAGCATAAATGACATACATATAAAAATGTAGATAATCAGAGCTACAAGTGAAATACTTCCCTAAGAGTACGGTTATCGAATGCTAGAGGTAAGTAAGTCATACTGTTTTAATGAAGCTCACTATGCTAGTCGAAGGAATCAGATATAGTTATTTTGAACCTCGTGTTGGGAACTGTATGTGCCTGTCGTTTATTTAAGACAGGGCGATGGTTGGTTTTTGCTGCCGTGTACACAATTATCTAAAATCATCGGATAAATAAGATTCCGAAGAGTGAAGAAACAACGATGTTTTTGAGGAATTACTTGATAAACATATTTGACGAATATGTGCCGAAATAAGTTTATACGAAAATAATTATCTAACTCCGTAGAAACAGTTTTAATTTGGTTATTACCTATATTTGTGCAAACCTATTTAGCGTTAGATAATAGGATATAGCACAATACTTGTATGTTTAGTTAGGCATCCTGGATATGGGCATCTAGCTTGCCTTTTTTGCAAGTAGGCCTGGCTCATAGTCTTTGTTACCCACTGCTGGCAAAATCCTCGTTCTTTCCAATGCAAAACAGATGTGGTATTAAGACCTCTTTTATTTATTAATCGCTATCATTCGACGCAGGTATATGTTATCTGGTTCTTACGATGATTTTTCGTTACTAATGCTACCATAAAATATTAGCCGACAATTGGACTGGGTGGATTTTTTTGTGAGACAAGTTAGCATCTTTCGCCGCTTTTCTGCTGAAAAATTCTGATTCGGTCGATACGGTCGCATGGGTGATAACAGATAGGCGGCGGTGGTCACATCTTGTGACTATCGTCGCCTTTTTGTCACAATGACAGTTAGTTGGGAGCATCGTCATTGAGCTTGCCTTTCAAGCAAACTTTTAATCCTCCCAGGGCCGAATGCTTAGCCAAAAGCAGGCTGCCATTCGTCGTTAGATGCCTCTGGTTATACGTGTGTGTGGATCTAAATATCATCAGCGGCGTGAAAGTGGTCTAGCATTGTTGGGTGGTTGAAACAACAATCTACCTCTGGATCTGAGGCAGTTCTTATTCAAAGTTTCGTCATGGGTTTATGGTTCCGCAGCGAGCCGATGGCCATGTGTCAAGTAATTCTTCAAGCGGATACGACTTACCAGTGCATTGCTGAACTAGGAAAATTAGGCGTGGCCCAGTTTGTCGACTTGAACGCCAAGGTGGGTTTCAAAATGAACTATATAAAGGAGTTTGATTATGGAGTAAACTGCAATTGGTAAGCGGCCTCTTGAAAACTGAAAAACCATTTAACTAACTAGCTAGCTAGCTGGCTGGCTGGCTGGCTGGCTGGCTGGCTGCACACATATGAAATAAAAACTAAATCATGCTTTACAATTTATTTCTCCAAGGAAACAGACCTCAATTTTTGTTTCCTTTTTAAACAAAAATCTTAGCTTAAGTAAATGTACAAGAACTACCTAGCAAGGGTAACATTATATGCACGTCATAGAATATTGTGATTGGTCAGATAGAAGGCCATCACTGAATCACCCAGCTGGGACGTAATCGACGCACAAATGAATAGCTGGAGTGATCGAACCCTTAAAGACAGAGTATCAAGTATGTATGATTCTTGTCTAAGCATCGATCTGAACCCGATTGCAGATTCTCTATATTGTAAGAATCGACTTCTATTGTTTACGGTTAAACATGAGCGAATACTTGGAGAGGCAGGCATGTACGCTCCAATCTTTCTGGCGAGCACCACTCACCGTATTAGTATTGTGCCTACGAAATAAGCAGGCATCATAAAATAAGTCATAGATAGATCATCGCTATTTAATTAGCCATCCTGTAGCAGGCTGGCTTGAGCTAGCTCTACCAGTGAATAGGTTCAGTAGAGTGACTCATAGGACTATCTGTGCAATTAAAATATTGTATAATTGTTATATACGTGAATCATGACAAAATGTTTCCCTATCAGGCCCAGTTATTTCGAACAAGCTTACGCGCTATCAAGCCAGCTGCTGAGATTGCTTTGGCCTGGCATTGTCAGATAGAGCGATTGTTTCTGCAGGATATTCAATGAGCGATCCATTTAATCGTGCACCACTGTCAATTTGATTTCAAAGCGTTCGAGTAAAGACTAACGTAAGTTTTGTTCTGTAAAAGCGTTAAAAAATATATTTTTCGGATGGGTTGACGTTCCCTTGATGTTAATATTTGCATGCTGGCTTTAGGGAGTATTACAACTCTGGGGTGTGTTGTTGTTTGAAGGAAGCGTGTACGTTTCACTGACAACAACGTACCAAAAATGCACGTACGGATAATACGTAGAACTGTGTAGATGTGTAAGCGGGAAAAGAGCTAATCAGCAATTTTACTATTGTTTTTTTACCGCACTCTAGCCGAGAACAAACTACACAGTGTTCAAATATCATATTTGCCTACAGCTAGAGACGCGTTCTACCCAATAGAGTACCTAATCTTGAGGCAGGTCTTCACTATATCAAGGTATTTTGAGTATTGCTCATTGGTTGTATCTATTCTACATTGAACCATGCCTTCGAAGTGTGCGTTATCCGTTAAGTGGGCGGGAACGTGTCATTCATTTTGGCAGGTGAATACATTTCAAAGGAAATTTGTCAACGATGTCAGGCGATGTGACGAAATGCAACGTGTTCTGCGCTTCGTCGAAGAGGAGATCAAAAAGGAAGGCATCCAGGTTCTTCCAGAAGACTCGATAGTGGATACACCACTACCCAAAGACATGATCGACATGGAGGTGCTGTACCAGAAAATGGAAGCAGAACTCAGTCAGGTAGAGTTTAGATAGAGATTTTTTTCTTCATCAGCTTCTATGAGTCTTAAACCTATTTCACTAACGGTTTGTAGACCATGAATTAACGATATTGGAGAGTAAGTTATTTTACGACTAACCTTCAAAATAAGAAATCGTTTTTATAATCGCACACAAATTTTCTAAACTTTCTTTCCGTAATTCACAGTTATGCATTATGATATCGATACAGCAGTACTTCCATCAACTATCTCGATAAGACATTTAACAATCAAGCAAACGTAGATTTCGGGCAGGTCAGGCCGCAATGCAGTATTACGTTCTGTTTTTGTGATCAGGTAACTGGGAACATTGCCGAAATGAACCAGATTTACGTTCAGCTTGTGGAGTGCAAACAGGTCCTTTGCTGTGTTGATGAGTTCTTCGAGACGCGTCAAGAGACTGAGATATACCCCAAGTCCAGCCATATGAATAGCGCGCTTAAATTGTCTGCCAAAGAAGTACGTCTTTCATAATTCCGATTGTATCAAAATAAGAAATCAATATTTGATCCAATTGAATGAAGCTGCAAAAAAATAGTCAAGATATCCTAATTATTGCAGTCTGCTGGATTTTACCATCATTTATTTTTAATCTTCTCATTAAATCCAGGCAAATTATGTTCGGAAAGATGTGTTTTTGCTGACAAAACGACGCTTAATTCTATTTCTATTCGTGTGCGCACTGGAAGTACTGTTTCATGCAACTCAGTCGTAAGGTAAACTTGCTTGAAGGACTTTAAAAGCAATTACAATGCGTTAACCTGAAATCTCTCAATGCCCATAATGTAGTCACGAACCTACGGGGAAAATGGCGACTTTTTTTTTTATATTGGACTATCAACGTTATTAATTAAATATTTAATTTGGGAAAATGACGAAAGGTGCGCCTCAGACTATTTCGAAACGTTTTATCTCGCTACTGTTCCGTTGCATTTCTTACGGCGTATGTCACATCGAATCAATCGATCGTCTAAATCCGTCTTAACGTTCGTGGAGTCTTTCAAGATCCCCCATTCTAGCGGCTTCACGGCGCTTAGAATCGTCCGCTGGGGTCCTTCTCGCCCGGTGTTAATCAGGTATAATGAGACGCTTGCTTTCAAATGATTCCAATGATTAGTTGTTGTTTAACATGCTTTGCTTTGATTTTGCCACTCTTTAGGAAGAGCTGGAGGATTTGATGTCGACCGCTACCGCTTGGGATCGGCCATCGACTGTATCACGGAAGTCGCTTGCAAGCTTATACGAATTCGAGCAACCGCCGGGTATTACTCAAAGGGATCAAGACTCACTTGGGTTCGTTGACAACCTTGACAACAGCCAAATTTCGCTAGGATGAAATAACAAAACGCTATTATAAGTGGGGCTGTTAGTGACAAGAATTTTTCTAATTATGAACATGTAACACAGTATTTAGAAAGGTACCAACAAGACAGCTCCTCTATATATAATAGATTATTACCATATCTTATTGTTATAAGCCATTAATATGGTGCGACTTCTACTTGGATCTCCACAAAAATTGGTGAGTTCAAATAAGCAGAGCCATTTTAAAATTATGATTTCCATCTTGTTCCATCCAACAGTTTCACGGCAGGCATAATTTCAATAGAGCGCTTTCAGTCATTTGAACGCATGATGTGGCGTGTGGGTCGTGGGAATATCTTTGTCCGCCAGATGTTTATCGACGGTTCTATCACCGATATGCATGGCGAGGCAACGCGCAAATGTGTCATTCTTATATTTTTCTCCGGAGAACAGCTCAGACAGCGCGTACGTAAGATTTGTGAGGCATTCCGGGTTAACATTTACCCATGTCCGGTTTCCAACGAAGAGCGCCGCGAAACCACCATTGGAGTTCTACAACGGCTGGAAGATATGCGGAAGGTAAAAAAATTATATATATATATATATATATATATATATATATATATTGTATTTCGAACTTACTGGGTGTGGCAAAAATGAGAGTAAAAAAAAAGAGAGATGGGACTTACAAGAAAATTGCGTCCCATCGTGCATACACATGTTCAGTCATTGATGGTATTTTATCAAATATACTTTTTATGCTGTATTTTGTCCAGGTCTTCAACGGCTCCCAGGATCATCGTATGAGGATTCTGGCAGGTGCTGCACGCAGTATCCGTACGTGGAAGATGCAACTCATTAAAATGAAATCAGTATTCCACATCATGAATCAATTGAATATGGACGTCACTCAGAAGTGTCTTATTGCCGAATGCTGGATTCCTGATCGCGATGTAGCAAAGGTACAAGCTGCCCTGCGACGTGGAACGGAAGCGGCTGGAAGCAGCTTCCCGTGTATCATTAACCGGTTGGAAACGGACCAAGCTCCACCGACGTTCTACAGAACGAACTCGTTTACTGCTGGCTTTCAAAATATTGTAGACGCGTACGACGTAGGAAACTATCAGGAGGTGAATCCAGCACCATATGCAATCGTCACGTTCCCATTCTTGTTTGCGGTAATGTTTGGCGATGCCGGCCACGGCCTGTTAATGACACTATTCGCCTGTGCCCTCCTCGTCTACGAAAAACCGCTGAGCCGTGTTAGAGAAGAGATCACTTCGATGGTGTTCGAGGGCCGTTATTTAATTCTACTGATGGGCCTGTTTTCAATCTATACAGGTCTTATTTACAATGACACGTTTTCGAAATCTATGAATGTTTTTGGATCAACATGGCATGTTGAACCACGGCCTTTCGAGGAAGGCAATCGCGATCCAATCGGTCTTCGACCAGAGTACTCGAATGAGTTTCAGAACAGATCGTATCCGTTCGGCATTGATCCAATTTGGATGATTTCATCAAATAAGATCCAATTTACGAATTCATATAAGATGAAAATGGCCATCATCCTCGGCATCATGCACATGACCTTTGGTGTTATACTCGGTTTATGGAATCACACCTTTTTCAAAGACCGAACCGGTTTTCCTCCTCCGCGTACCGTTTTCGAACGGAGTCTTCGGCGCAACCTCGAAGTTTGGGCAGTATTCATTCCAGAAATAATTTTTCTAGTAAGTTTGTTTGGCTATCTCGTTTTCATGATATTTTTCAAATGGCTTCTTCCATTTGGCGCGGGAGGTGGTGAAGGGCCCAATTGCTCCCGTAGCATACTCATTATGTTCATAAACATGATCATGAGAGGGGGTTCGGTTGGCGTCCCAGAAAAAAACGTTAAGTGTTACCAGAAGCCTATGTATGAAGGCCAAGAGGAAGTACAGAAAGTAATACTTTTAGTAGCCGTTGCGGCCGTCCCGTGGCTTCTAATGGCAAAGCCACTTTATTTATTCTACCTGAACTGGGTGCACTCCCAACCTTTATCCCCTGATTTCGTGACAATCAATTACGAGGAACAACTAATGGTCCAGGATGAGATGGAGCCCAAAAGCGAGCCATCGCCTTCAACGCGTCACCGCAAGAAATCCGCGGTGTCGCTGCATATTTTAAAAAGGAAGGAATCCGAAGAATATTCGGAACAGCAAGACCTCACGAACAATCTCGCCGAGCTCGCCTTTCAATTCGATTTGAGCGAGGTCGTCATTCATCAGATCATCCACACGATCGAGTATTGTCTTGGAGCGGTGTCCAACACCGCATCGTATTTGCGCCTCTGGGCATTATCCCTAGCTCACGCACAGTTATCTGAGGTGTTGTGGAGCATGATTCTTGCAGGAGCACTTTTTGTCCAGGACAATCCTGAGGATGTCGGGAAACACGCAGTTTCTTCGATTCAACTCTACGGCAGTTGGGCTGGATGGGCTATTTTGACAGTTAGTATCTTGCTTCTCATGGAAGGTCTATCAGCTTTCCTTCATGCCCTTCGACTTCATTGGGTTGAATTCATGAACAAGTTCTTTAAAGGTGAAGGCTACGCCTTCGCGCCGTTTGACTTTGCGCAAATCATCAGAGACACCAGCACCGAGGCCTAGTTGTATTTTGGTGCTTTGGGAATTCAAGGCAAACAATAAATAGAAAGCCCAAGTTCGTGGATATTAAAATGAACACACAGGCAGTGTGTTGAGCTTTCGAAAACCACATATATATATATATATATATATATAGTGGTAGAAAAATGAGCTGCGCAAGTAAGCTGGGAATGTAATAAAAGTGGGGTGCATTGAGCGACGAACAGTTATTAGCTTACCCCGGCCTGAGTGGGTTGTGCTACTACATTAGAAAAAATCCGACCCAAAGGTGTTTTTATTAGGCAAGTTAATAATTACTAGAAAATTTGTAAAACAGAATTGTTCTAATGATTTTCTTTCAGACAATTTCGTATTAAGATATGATTAAGGCATGATATGAAATCGTCGATCGCTTTTCCTTTTTCAATAAGTAACAAGCAACGTTAAGTGAGCCGAACAGACGGAGCTGTGTTTAAGGAATAGAAATGTTCGTACGCAGTATACATTTATAGATCCGATACGTTCTTGAAAAACTACTTACGTTGGCAAATTATTAAAATTAATAAAAACTGTACAAGTGAGAAGATTTTATGCTGAAAAAAGCTACTTGTGAGAAGAACCTCTATAAACAAACTAAACTTAAACGTACATTTATCTAACCGTATACAACATGTTCACAGTTAACCTGCGAAGATACTGCCAAGGGGTATCAGTGAGCCAATTGAAACAAGGTCACGTAGAAAAATAGGACAAGGTAGGGTTGACTCTCGAGGCAGTGTTATACTCCATTGTTGAGATAAGGGGAGAGGCGCAGCGCTGGCTCAACGATTAGCATATATGCTTGTATGACTGTAGCAGACATTTTCCTCTAATCAATTCCACTCCACTTTTAATTACAGATAATATGTTTTAGCTAAAATTTTCTCAAATAAATGACACAAAACAATCTTGAAGTATTTATTGGTTTGAAATTCCAAATAAGATTAAAAAAAAATAGCCGTTGTTCTGCTTACTAAAATAATCGGGATGATGCAGAAGGACAGCGGTCCTATTTAAGGTTCTGACTAGGCTCTCATGCAAGGTCTACAGAATTTGCTGACAAAAATTTCACGAGTCGCCTGTGACAGTAATCGCTTGGTGGCTTATCTATAGAATGAATTAAGCAGAGTAGCCAGTAATTAATAGATAAATAGTTTCCTGGACAGTTTCTTAGCTGGACAGATGATATTTGGCATGTATAAATAAAAAGCTATTTTCGTGTATCTCATTGCCAGTTATTAGAATTTTTTCCTTGACAAATGTATAACTATGTCTGAATAGATATGGCTTTTAAGGACGGTCGAGACATTCGGAGCGGTTTAAGAAGACATATATCTATGGTGTCCTGCCGATGTCCTTTCTATAAATAGACTTCTGTTAATTAGATGCAAACGGCTCAATAACACGATCAATTCAAATTGGATAAAGTGCCAGTACCATCGTAGACCTGCTGAACTAATCTCTCTGCAGTGAACGGATAACACGTACACGGGGTCCAATCGTGGGCGTTGCACTCCATCTCTGACGTTCTTTCGATGACAGATCCCTTAAATAGCCGCTATGAACGCGGCAGGTCTTTGTATATTCTCGAATATTTATAGTAAATATAAGCCTTTATGTTGCTTATTCTTAAATCTTCCATAGCACTAATATATACGTATACATTCTGATGTTCTGCAAACGTTTCCTAAATGCAACAGTCGTATATAATACGTTGGAGCGTATGACGACTTAATTTTTTTGTCAATTAAATTTGTAATACGCAGGTAAAATCGTTAGTCATATCTGAACCACACTCAGCGTCCACAGGCCATTTAATTTCATTAATGTACGTTTCAATGGTAGCTTAAATGGCATTGCAAGGGCAGGCTTGACAATTCCATTAGTAAAGCTTTTATTGTACAAGAACGTGGCGCTAATCGTTCATTACTTGGCAATCTGGACAAAAAAAAAGTCGCTTTTGTGTACGACTACACTACATATTGAATGTCTTAGTAAATTTATCATAGAACAGCCAGATGACAAATGCGTTTACTCCGCACATTATAGTTAGCATTATACGATATTAATCGAGTACCTCGATCGAGACAAAAATGGTTGACGATTACACAATGGTATATATTGACAGCGGCAATTTTTACAGTTATTGCCAAACATTTGGCTTGTTATAGAGGGCGTTAAATGGGCTCACAGCGCCGTCGTCTTTATTAGCTCGTTTATATCAATAGAAGTGGCGTGTCGGATAACATAGCTGGAACGTATTCTAAATAAAATTGAACCTAAGAGCAATTGCTAATTAACGTTAGACAGCATTTTAATTCAATGGACTGAGCCAAGCTCGTTGCTGGATAGCGCACTAGCCAATCCGCTAGTTGTCGTAAGTGCATCAGATCAGGAACTGTGCATTTTTTGCAGATACATATTATAGTGAAGTAGAAACTCGAGGATTCCGTAATGTTTAAATGATGTCTAAGCAAGTGGAACGTGACGTGTACGGATTATTGGCGTTAGAGGCTTTACGTCACAAACTAACTCCCTCAAGTTTTGGCCCCTAAACAATGGGGGAGTGAATTGGCCTGAGGCGTTCAATGGCGTTAATATCGTTTTTAAAAAGCTGGACGCCAGTCTCGTGGATGTATAGTCTGTATTCAACGCGAGCAAATTTTGGGCGTGGGAATCGTTCCACGTTAAGCTTTTTGACAGTATGACAATTTTGTGGCGACAACTGCTTATGGTAGCATTGTGCTTAAGTAAGTACTTTTTTTACGGGTGACATCCTCTATCTTTAGAACTTCTTATGAATATCAAGCTCGAAACTCGCAAATTTATTTTTCTCTAAATTGGAGCTTTTCTGTGATACTATTATTATTATTTAGCTCTTGTCGAAGACAGCATTGGTCTCAACATTTGACCATTTCGTTGACTTTTTGTAGAAGAGTCCATATTAATCCATCTACTAACCTACGAAATACTCGTTTTAGTTTAAAGTAGCATTTAGAAATAGGGTGTATTTTATTTTTTCACTCCATACATATATCCGAGAATATAACATGACTGACCTTTGCTACGAGTTCAAAATCAGATGCAACCCTACTAAATATGGCCCGCGCCAATTCCCAGTATTTATTTTCGTTTCCGCCTGTCTGACCTTCGTAAATGTATTTATTCTACTGATTTGTAATTATTGGACGACGCTTGATAAAGTTCTAGCTTTACATAAGCAGTGGAAAAATTCCAAGTTTCTTGAGGGTTCTCTAATTGTTAATTATATTTAATTTGGCCGACCGGCGCGTTCAGCTTCTGGTGTGTAACTAATGGCTGCTAAAAATAGAATAATTAATATTACTACTCTGCTTGGTCTAAGCAAAGTTATGAGTGATTTTTCTGTGTTACTTGCGACGTATTGTCTTTTCAGAATGGTGTTCTGCTTCTATTTTGCGGACAACTACATCGGATGAAAGAGCTACTTCAGATTGGGAAATTAGTACTCCCAAAAGCACTACACCATTCTCACGAAACCTTCCAAAACTTTTACGAACAATGCTTGTCTTAAGGCCAGCTGTTTTTAAGGACACAACTCCTTTCATTTCGAACATGACAACCACAAAGGATACAGGTTCCGGAGTCAGTGACATGCTGGGCTCAGAAGGAATCAAAATTTCTAAAGAGCCAACCACTCAGGATTGGAAAAAAAATTCCTTGGTATCAGGAACTACGACCTCTCAAAAAATGATCGATTTAGAGGAAACAATTGTTTCGGTTTCGGAAAGGACATCTATCCAGGACGTAACTTCCACAGTTGACAAAATGACAGCCTCGAAAGGAACACCAATCTCTCATAAAACAGTCATACGCGCCCAGGAAACTACAACCGCTCAGGAAACTACAGCCAGTCAGGAGACTACAGCCAGTCAGGAGACTACAGCCAGTCAGGAGACTACAGCCACTCAGGAGACTACAGCCACTCAGGAGACTACAGCCACTCAGGAGACTACAGCCACTCAGGAGACTACAGCCACTCAGGAGACTACAGCCACTCAGGAGACTACAGCCACTCAGGAGACTACAGCCACTCAGGAGACTACAGCCACTCAGGAGACTACAGCCACTCAGGAGACTACAGCCACTCAGGAGACTACAGCCACTCAGGAGACTACAGCCACTCAGGAGACTACAGCCACTCAGGAGACTACAGCCACTCAGGAGACTACAGCCACTCAGGAGACTACAGCCACTCAGGAGACTACAGCCACTCAGGAGACTACGGGCACTCAGGAGAATACGACCACTCAGGAGAATACGATCACTCAGGAGAACACGGCCACTCAGAAGAATACGGTCACTCAGGAGACTACGGTCACTCAGGAGACTACGGCAGCTCAGGAGACTACGGCAGCTCAGGAGACTACGGCAGTTCAGGAGACTACGGCACTCAGGAGACTACAGCCACTCAGGAGACTACAGCCACTCAGGAGACTACAGCCACTCAGGAGACTACAGCCACTCAGGAGACTACAGCCACTCAGGAGACTACAGCCACTCAGGAGACTACAGCCACTCAGGAGACTACAGCCACTCAGGAGACTACAGCCACTCAGGAGACTACAGCCACTCAGGAGACTACAGCCACTCAGGAGACTACAGCCACTCAGGAGACTACAGCCACTCAGGAGACTACAGCCACTCAGGAGACTACAGCCACTCAGGAGACTACAGCCACTCAGGAGACTACAGCCACTCAGGAGACTACAGCCACTCAGGAGACTACAGCCACTCAGGAGACTACAGCCACTCAGGAGACTACAGCCACTCAGGAGACTACAGCCACTCAGGAGACTACAGCCACTCAGGAGACTACAGCCACTCAGGAGACTACAGCCACTCAGGAGACTACAGCCACTCAGGAGACTACAGCCACTCAGGAGACTACAGCCACTCAGGAAACTACAGCCACTCAGGAAACTACAGCCACTCAGGAAACTACAGCCACTCAGGAAACTACAGCCACTCAGGAAACAACTAGTGCCAGCACGGACACTTCAGCAGCCTCTTTTTCAGATGTCCAAATTATTCTGATCTCAACAGCATCTGTCGTTGCGGTCGTTCTAGTCGTTGGTGGTTTATTGTTTCACTTCGTTTTTCGTCGGAAAACTGCGCAGACTACTCACCCTTCATAGTGTAATAATCAACGCACGTTTTATTTGTATGTTAGAACGTTAATTTCAGTATGTTTCTAGGCTTTAGCTCATCTCAGCCTAAATGACCTTAATCGGCTTACTTCGAGCAGACTAATACGTCACCTATTCTAATTCATTTAACTGATGTTGTTACCTAGGTTCGCACTAAACTGCAATCACCTCATTTTTAAATTTCTTGGAAGAGTTGGGTAATCACTTTTATTGATAAGATACCCTCGTTCATAAACTGCTATCTTAAAAATGCATGAAAGTTACCATTTCCACATATTTTTAATTACTAAATATTGTGGAGTTGTGGTAGATAGGCAAAGTGAAGCCGCTCAAGGCTGCTTCAGAATCAAGCGTTAGGGACGATCCTATCGAATTTGTTCGACTCGATGTATCTCCTCATATTAAAAGCTTGTGAAAGACGCACCTATCGCCAGCCTTTTGCTTAGTTTCTTCATAGACAGCAACGAGCAGAATACAATTATTAGAGTTAAACGTTTCTACTGCGGCTTTATTTTAGTTTCACTTTTGCTTACATGATCTTATGTTTATGTGCTTAGTCGGAAACCTCCGGGGGATATTTGTACACTCCATTGCCATTACGTATTACGCATGTTGTTTAGGCAGCAAACGCGAGATCGTCTTGACAATGGGCCCACTTATTTGGTCACTGCGTCGTATGATAGCTCCAGTAAGAGCTGGGCACGGGACAATAGAAAGAATCGTCGGTTGTATTGATTCTAGCCAGCATGTAATATCGGCAACGTAAGATTTTGGCGGCAGCCTTCGGCTGCCTCTGTCGAGTTAGAACACCTTTCCGATTACCAATGACTCGCGTCGTACCTGTGATGCAGTCAAGGTTTGAAACAATGCTTCGAAAATTGTTACACTTCAAAGAAAGAACAAAACGGCCTAAGATGAAACCTGAGTTCGATACTTGCGGCAAATATATGTAACTAATCTGACTGTTAGGGCACTTGCTGACCCACAAATAGATAGTGCTATGAATGACAATTATAATGTAAGAGTAGACGAAAAAGATGATGCTCAATCTTCTTAATTGAACACGACCGCGTAATATATCTATGAAGGTATATATATATATATAAAACCGACCTTGCGCCGTCATAAAGTCCGCAAAGTTCCAGATGTGTTCTCCAATAAACCAACCCTGAGAGCGGAGCTGATCAAATGCCCGATGATGCTTAATTAGAAGCTCGCTCTGATAATCTTCGCTAAACATCCAAGACGGCGAGACGTGCAGTCCTGACACTGTATCAGCTCCATACTCGCTAATCATTACTGGTTTCTTGTGTTTCGTATACCATCGAGTGCAGTAATCAATGATCTGTAACAGTTCATTAAAAGCATCATCGGGTAAATGTCAGCTACAAAAATTGGAAGCCATCTCAGTCAGCCCAGTTGTGATTTACCGAATCGCTCTCACTCAGTATAGGCAAGTAATACGTAAGCTACCACAAGGTAATATTAATTGAGAGATCGCCGAGTTAAAAATATCGTCTCACCTCTGAAGAATTAATGAGACTACGGAAGTAGCTGCGTAAACGAGTAGTCATTGTGTCAAAGCGGACGATGAGAAAGTTAGTCAAAATAAGTTGTCTTTAAGAAACCTCTAACGGGAAAATTCAGCTGTGCAGAAACGTCGAAATATTAGTAACATATAAAAATATCGCCGCGCCTTTGGTAGGACTTTAAGCTCGACTGCAAAGGACTGGGTCCAGCGTATTGAGCGCAGAGTAAGTTAGAAAGCTCCTTGCATAGGTATGTTGAAGCAGTTAGTTTTAGTAAGTATTGTGGGAGCGATAGCGTTAATGAAGCATTGGCTACAAATCGTTTCTGTATACATTTTTTCCAGCCTATTTGTGAGACTATGCAAACGCAAGTTATCTATCTAATCTACTTATAGGCATAAATACGTGCTTGGCTGTAAATAACGTCCAGCTCTCCGGAATCACTGTACCACGAAGCGTATTTATTAAACATGATCACGTCCATAAATTGACCGACTTGGTCTTCATCGGGACCGACGGACAGCGCAGCTGATACTGGTCGATATTTATCGAGACTCTTCACATGTTTTACAACCTAGAATAACAACAGTAAAACGAGATCCTCTTGGAACGGTTCAGAAAATACGGTTTATTAAGAGTATATTGTGAGTGTTATATTAATTTCGACACAATAATCTTTGGCTTTAAACATGAGTACAGCGCTAGTCCCAAGGGTTTTTTGGATAATGCTTGGGTATATTTGGCAGATCATGATTCTTAACGCTTTTTCAGACCAGATCCGCCTCAAACAAGAGGACCATCGCCTTGCGTAAAGGTGTCAGTGACCAGGATCCGAAAGAATAATTGCCACGATAAATAGAAACAAAGGAATACCGCAAAAAACTTTTATCATGCCCTCTCCATTATGCTATCTGTAGTAGTTCAAGCCAAAACTGACCACGTTAACATAGACATTCATAATGTATTTCACTGCTTGTCTACAATTGACCGATAACAAAACTTTACATATGGGAAAAAAAGCAACGAAAACGCCTAAAAAAACATCTAGGATTTGCCTATTGGTTTGATTTACGATCGGCGTGTTCCGAGTACTTCCCTGTTGAAAGTAATCCCGACTCGAGTTTTGGTTCGACTCTGGTTCGTTGGCTACCGACCACACAAATACCGACGGCCGATTCTTATCGCGGTCAATCTATAATTCAGAAGGCAAAAGGCTCATCCGGTTAGCGCTTGTGGCGTCATATGAAAGACGCACACGTTTTGTGTCCGCTGAGATGTCCTAAGTAACATGGTAAGATTTGGACATATGTTGAACCAGCTGTCAATATTTATTTAATTGCTTTATTCATCAAATTAACAGTTCATCTGGCGGTATCCAGCTTATCTGCTATTCTACTCCAATTGTCCAAAGGCGTACGCACCAAGTCAGTGAGGATGTCCTTGTGAAGCTGCAGAACATTGCTGGAAAACCTCATGAGACCGACTGCAGGAGTTTCATCAATAACGGCAATTCCCATTTCGTCCGCGAGATCCATCAGTTCTTCGGAATAGGGGTAGTGCGAAGTACGGAACGAGTTCGCTCCCAGCCACTTTACCAGCTTCATATCTTTCACGTTCAGGGCATTGTCAAGGCCCCTACCGCGAATGTCGGAATCCTCATGTTTGCCTATCATTTGACATCAATCAACGGCTCAATCATTTATCGTAAGCGGGCCAAGTTTTTCTGAAAGGCTGACGCTTATTGGTACAGTCACAATATCGTGGACAGGTAGGAACGCACTTGGATTATAACAATACCTAGAAAATAATTTCATTCTGCTCTTCTGGTAAGTAATCATCCAAATAACCGTAAACAACAGTTCCAGGGTAGTGTTCAAAATTTGCTCGCAAGCAAATTAATAAACAACGAGTCTTAGTTGTTAATAAGAGTAATAGATGAAATCTCCTAGTACCAACCATATTTTTATCATTCATTTCTCGTAAAAACAATTGATATATTTTTAGAAATAGTTTGCAGGGAACCAAATAACGGTACTTTCCCGTCTCCAGGTCTGTTGTTAGCTTAGTATCTGTTGCGTCTGGCTCATCGATTTCACTTCATTGCAGTTACTTCATTGCTGATTTTACGGTACGCAGGTAATAGTTCTACCCTGCCCTAGATACATCAAGGTACGGCGATCATAACCTTCTGTTGTTATTATCGATGGCACAGTGATTCTATCTACTGTCTTAACGGGCTTTATAGGTTACGATTTCCGGACCTAATATACATTAAGCGCAACGCACTGAGAGTGCTACACATTTGCCTGATCATACCGAATCCAGTGAAGTAAAAATCTTCTCCATTGAGAAGAAATCGTGCTCCGTTGACTTCAATCGTTCGGATGCCAAACTTAACTGGGTACGAGTCCATAAGTTTAGTTCCATTTAACACGTTCACCATCATTATGTACTGGTAGCCTGAAATATAATCATAAAATGCATCAGTCAATGTTTGCGGATGCACCTCTTCCTCCGAAGTCAGGTCACCTAGAATTTGCCATATGCTCTTCTTGCGTTTATGGTTATTACACTCACTTCGCTTAGTAATGGTAAATAAACTTTATATCAACATACGCTAGTCAAATTATACAAGCCAATATATCTGTAGAACTTGGGTTTTAACAAATAGTCATAACAGGATTGTCATAGATCGTTCTAGAAGTAATTACGTACCGGGTTCCTTGCTGAGATCGTGAGTCCACCACAGTTGAGCGTTTTTCATTTTAAATAGACCGGAACAATTTTCGGTTACGAGCACCTCATTATCCTGCCTATCTCGTACAGACAAACGACATCTGAGGGCAGATGAACCAGTGTGAGCTACATTGAAACTGATAATCGATTCTATCAGCACAACAATTGGGGAAAAAACACTTGATTAATAACGTCATAAAACACACAGCACAGGATAGTGTTTGTTGGCAATGAAAATGGGGCTTAGCGATATGGCAAGGCTGGTAGAACTAAAAATATAAATAAATATTAATTTTCGCTTCCTAATCACTCCAAGTTCTTATAAATAAAGAAAAAAATGAAAACAATACTCGATAACCTTCTATACGTGCATCTGCGCACCGTACAGTTTTGTTGGAAGCAAGTAATAAGAGCAATAGGAGTTACGTATGCTGACCCAACCTTCAGTCCCCGTGATAACGACGCAGTGGATAACATGTTTGCCCCCACTAGGCTAGTGAGGTGATCTAGGCCATAATCCAGAAGTATGCGTGTTCTGCTGGTAAAGACCAAGCAACTTATGTAAGATAACTCTACCCTACTATTAAGTTGTTGCTGTTGTTCCGACCAGGAGAACAACTTCAACGTCTTACTCAATTTTCGAATTGGCCAAGTTAGCCAAAAGTCAAATGATCTTTGCTTTTAGCCTATTTCCCTAAGATGAAAAGCAGCTTATTTTTTTTTGGTGCTGTAGAACTTCACCGCGCAATCGTTGCTAACATTTTCAAAAGAGTAGAAATTCACAGAATAGATGTCGTACGAGAACTTAAATACTAGATAAAACTGCATTAATTGTAAATTATGAATGCTCTTTTATAAAGATAGAAATACCTTTCTTATCGGCTTTAACCGTGTTAACATCAACGTCATACACGTAAACTTGTTCAGTTGTGTACAAGAAAACGCTTCGATGAATTCCTGCATAATTGAAGAAATCGAAATTGCCCGTATTCCTGTAGAAAAATGGCGGATAACCTGTACTGTTGATCTGCCGAACAACAAAAAAGAAAACAACAATGTGTTAGCCACAACATTAATATTAATAATCATTAAATGATTATTAAATCTTATTAAATAAGATTTCTGTAGTAAAAGGCACGTTCTTTGACGTGCGTTTCACTAACTTACTTTTCATTGAACCCAATGACTACCAACAAACAGTTCGTTTCAATAGCTTGCTTGTCAGTGGTCAAAAAACAAAGACAATACCTTGAGTATCAGGGTTCCCTGCGGAATTGTATCGTACGTCAGCGTATTGTTAATGGCAACGGTGAGAATATTAGGGATGGACGAGCTGACAAGGAAATTGTTGATTTGCGCTTCGAACGGCAGATGGCCTACGGCATGTTGAAGTACCAGTTTTCCGTTGACAAACTAGGAGCAATGATCACGAGAAAAGATAGAACACACAGGCTACTTTTATAGGGGACTTCATTGTGCGCTCACAGCTTTATAATCTTATAAACATTTTGTACACAATACAATAAACAAAATACATTTTTTTTTAAATAATTGGCTCTTCGTATGTAAAAAACGAATAGGTCAGCCAGCGATCCTCAACCCTCCATGTTTTTATCATATTCATTGTTTGACGTATGACTGTTAAAGGGTACGTCCAAAGGCACGTTACCACTATTGTATTGTAGTGGGCGCTGCCGAAGTAGAGCATTATTCTCTTGCTTTTCCAGGCTGTCGGTACATAGAAGGCTTTCTGATACCAGGCCCAACCAACGTGATCGCGTAGGGCCTTATCCTGGCCTACGTCGTTGTAGCTTGCAGGAACTGGCATCGGCTCATACGAGAGACCCATCTGTCGAAAAAGATTTAGAACGTAAGCGATTAACGCTGGCAATATAAATGTGTATGGATGGAGTGTGTACCGTCATATAATGGAAACAACAATTTAAATCTTTTTCTCATGGCGCACATGACTAATGTGGTGGGTAAAGCCTTTGGTAAGTTTATTAAATGGATATTTCTTCCTTTGACTCATAAAGGTAATTTACCAGTTAAACATCATACAGGAATCCTGAGCGTCTTACTTTCATAAACATTTCAGCTATATTCTATCAGATTCTCAGATAGAGGAACTTGTTTAGTATTGGTACACTCACGTTCCTCTCTTAGGATATTAAGGATATTAAACTGATTTCTCCTATCATGACAAATTTTCCTGCTTTATGTTAAACTTGACGGTTCTCTAGTTCTTGTTTATATACGTCGCGCAGTGCATAAAATGCCTGCCAAGAAAAGCAATTTGTTGTATTCACTTAGATTCTATTTAATAAACGTTTAACTCTTCATCAACTTATAAACGACGACCAAGTTCATTGAAGAAAAGTATGAAAAAAGTAATCTCCATGATACACATACCTTGTTCCAAGCGTCGCTGTGCCAGGCATCAACAAATCCTTGGTCTGGGTTATTGATGGGCGCAAGCTTAAAATTCCACACCCCATCTAAACGTTTCACCTGCCTCGTAGGACCTTCTCGGGGGTACAGCAACGCGTGGCTATTCGGATAGCACCACGCACTTAGAAGTACAACAATCAATGCAAATCTACATAACATTATTTCAAAATAACGAAAATATTTTAATATTTGTACATTGTCACGACCATTCGAAAAGTGCGGGCCGTAGCCTTTTTATCTACGGAAATACAAACCTATCTATGATTATTGAATTTTCCCGGCAATTTCAAAAGCACTTCTCGTATTTAGTAATAGTATAAATGATTAAAATAATGGTTCTTTTTAAGCATTGTTTCCCTAAAAACTGCTGCATTTGATCAGCTGGTACCACATTTATTTTCGTTGATTGATAACTATTTGTTGGGCGCTGGTTGTCAGTGATACGGTTGTAAATAAGGGTACCAGACATAGATGCAAAAAAAATTTCAAGATGAGCCAACGTACGCTTAGCCGTCAATTGCCGATACCAAAAAAAGTCCATTGTTATTGTTTTCGTTCTTGGATTCCTAGGCTCTAACATATTCGATATTTATACGCGATTTTCACCCTATGACACCGTCAATTGCAGTAATGCTAAGTTAGCGAGCCATTGCGGCGCTGCAATTTACTTATGCATGGCCCCCCAATAACGTATTTGTTAGTGACTCACTATTACGGCGAGCTTGCAACTGCAGCAGCGACCGCAGCAGATGCGGCTCGTTCACAAATAAATAACAAATATATATTCTCTGTGGAACCCTTCAAAAAGGAACTGACATTGCTATATTTTGCTCAATAGCTGTTCGGTGCGAAACATTAACGTGTGAAAATCAATGGGTACCCAACAATTCACACAACCGCTGCGTATGCGCAAAGCAACAGACGCTTTTGGCCTATAACCTACCACAAAGGGGTCATGAAAATACATCGAACTTTTAGTGATTGTTAAATAATAACTTATAATATTTTTTTATGTTTGTATTAGTGATTGGGCTTTTAATGAAGCTCATTTAGTTTACTTGGTGGCACTGCGACTGATCTAGATAAGATCGTTATTATTTTATACAAAAAAAGGTACGCAAAGTTAATCGATCACGTTAGCCAAACACTGTTGATAGTTAGTAATGTAGACAAATCATAATTATGCGGACACAGCCTTAAAATCATTACTAAATGCCGAGAGTCCTAAGCCATCATTTTGTGCTTGCTATATAAACAATAACAAAATTACCTTAAAATAAGGTTATCATGGTGCTGTTTGTTTCTAACGTTGAAAGATAGAGATATCTTTATGCGTTTAAGCGTCACAGTGTAGTATGTTTACTGCTGTTTACTCAATTAAGGAGAATGTATTATACAAAGACAGAGTTCCATGTACTTTGGTTTTAATTTAATACAATGTACAATTCTACTTAGGGCTTATTATTAAACAACCATCTGAGACATCCATAATACTGCGATCTTTTACTTTAGACGACAGATTCCTAACGCCACACGAAATACGTCCACGTCCGGTTTCGAACCTAAACCAGCCCACCACGTGTTCCAAGGTACACTAGGTAAACACGCTAATATTGCACTATTCCAGATTATTAATCCAATCAGGTAATACATCAATATACCAGGGACACTTGCATGAAATCATTTCGCGCGATCATGGATTCGACCGTCGTTTATAATTTTAAGATAATGTAAAAATGCCATGAAGTAGATAGCGACAGCATGTACTTTAAAAAGTATTTTCATATCATCGATAGAGTAGCCATTTCAAACTGGCCTGTCTCGCCTTTAATTTCTCCCATAATCTGTTATCCTTCCAACTATATTCCCTAGGTCGTATAGAAATGCCCTTGAAACTGTTCTCCTGTCTTAACGACCTCTATAACCGCGGGGTGAATGATGTATGCTTGGTAGAAGTTCACTGTAGTCTTTTAGCTATAGCTCTGTACATGTGAGCACTCCCACGGATGCGCAACTATAGCTTCTTACGTGAGACCTTGAATAGTTTTACACGGCTTTAAGGCTTTCGATCTATTTAAACTACGCCATCCACCGAAGATAAAACTGACTCACTGGGGACCTGAATTTCAAAATATACAATCTCGTTGATCGCACTGCGTGGTGAGTACTACCCTTTTTTCCCGGGAGATAGGAATATAGTTTTTAGTGAAAGCAATCTGGGCCAGAAACCGCAAGCACCGGCGAGTTTTACAAAATCTTTCCTCAAACTTTAAAGCCGATGCAGAGTGCCGTGTTTGTTGTATAGGACGAGCCCTTACTAAGTGCGAAGCGATCCTTTTTACATGCATTCACGCCAATCTAAAGCGATGGAAAGTTGACATAAGGCGAACCATTTGTCTACTAGAAGCCTTTGTTCTATGTCTGTTACTACTTTAATCTTGTTTTTAAACCGACTTTGCATTGTAGGGGCATAGTTGCACAAAAATCCGTTGCATTCTTATTAGGCTAATTAAAGCTGAGTAGGTTTCATTGTAGGGTGATCGCTTAGTGATACAGGGTAACGTATTTGTCTTAGGAACACGTGATGTAGGTTCAAGCCCGGACATAGGCGGACTGACTTCTTTTCGTGCTGAGAGCCAGCCAACCGTCTGACATACACCGGATGTAAAATCTAAAAGACAGAGATGTTTAATTGTAAAAATTATTTGCGAGAATTCTCAATGAAATGATCTTCAGCTAGTATAGACAGTACGTAAATTGAGATCTAGATAGGTCTATTGGAGCTGAGACAACAAAGCCTACCAGTGAGATCAGACCCGTATGAACAAGCAGTGAAAGTAAAGATTATAAAAAAAGACACTAACCTGTCTTGGGCTTTATTTGCTGTCATGTTCGTGCTCAGTAATCATGCCACATCAAACCTTCAGCGCTTTTAACATCTTCATTATTCGATGCCTATTTGGCTCCATTTCAATTAACAGAGAGGTCTCATAAAAATGGACTAGATAGAACAATTATCTCTAGCAGAAGAACGCAAAAATCCTCATTTCTGTTAGTGTTAAAGTGATAGTAGTGAAAAATATTAGCTCTCAGTTGTTTTGTAACAATTCGATCACAAAATTTCGGACAGTAGTATTGCTTAGAACGTAAATAAGTAACTTCTATCCTTGTGAGTGTCGAGCTCATATGCTTATAGTATTCAAGACGTTGAGGAAACACCTAAGCGGGTCCAATAATATAATAATGAATTTTGATATATACAATCCACACGACTGAACAAATCAAACAATAAGCACTGATTTTATACGCCAGCAAAATTAAGTGTTCATAGACCAAAAAAGTTGCTTCTAAGTTTCCAATTCACGCGCAGTTCCTTGCAGAACACACTGGCCCTTGTATAGAGATTTTGCATTCACCATTAATTCACCGTTAATAAGTTAGAGGGAACAAAGGAAATGCGCATTTCTGGCCCTTTCCTCTATGTAAATGTGCGATTTTTCGACTAATAGATATTTTACAGATACGAATCATTTTCTAAAATAATCAGGCTATAAAGATAGTTTTGTGAATTTACTTGGTGTATGAGAATTATAAGCCAGGCAACGAATCTCTATTTTCCTGTTTGAGCTCCCTATGTCCTTAAATAAGTTTATAGTTAACCTAATAAAATCAAGGATCAGAAATTGCATAGAACTTTTGCTGTGTCAGCTGACAAAATTTCAAGCCTCATCGCTTCAGAAAGTGTTCAAAGCTATGATATTTCAGCAGAAGGTAGACAAAAAAATTATCATAACTTACCCATCATTCTTTCTCAAACCCATCAAGTGGCGGATACGCCTAAAAATCACGAAGCAACTCTACAGAATCTGTATTCATCACAGCTGGTATAGTTAACAGGCGACACAGGCCGTAACGCCGTATATTTTAGAACTTTTTTTTTCATTCGTAAATTTAGCTCTAGTTCGAACTAAGTTCTTATTTTTGTTTATTTTTAAGTGGTGCCTTCTGCAACTTACCGGCACATTTTGAAAAAAAAGACTTCCCTGGGCTCCCTGTCGGACGAACGGTGCACTCTTCGCATCGTCTAAAGCCGCCCTATTATCTTGACGCACTGCGCTTATCTTTGTTTTGACTTAACCGAGAGAGACCTGCTACAGCCACTCTCCTAGTAAAGAGGAGAAGAACCACGGCGGATGCCATAAAAACACACGCATCAATCACAGCAATATACAGACACAGCTCAAAAGCTACTGAGACATTTTTACGGATGATTACGGAAGAATGCAACTTACATATATATCGTTTTCCCCTAATATCCCCATATCAACAAGATACCTTGTAGAAAATAATCCAACACTTTCTAATAAATGCTTCATGTCCGCGGGTTAATCTGAAGCCAAATTTTAATCTCAATGTCGACTTACTTTGGTTCGTTTTCCCTGCATTTGAGCGTGCGGATCGACGTGCAGGGCAATGGAAAAATCATCACCCTTGACATTGCATAATACTGACAGCGCAGAGGCTTGAGGGCCCCTCCTAGGTATTCCGTTCAAGTGAAAACTCCTTTTGTTATTGCCATGTATATTATCGTAAGTAATCTGAAAAGGCGTAGAGGAACAGGTTTAATCACTTATAATAAATAAAATGGTAATGATGATGGATGGAAGAGCAGAATCGAAGATTTTTTTCCTTGAGATTGGACGACAGTTATGAAATCGTCTACGATACCGGCAAATAAAACTCAATATAGTCTGTTATAAAAAATGGAAAATATCTGATGCTGGATTGCTTTTAGAATGCTGCTGGTAATTGAAACGCTTCAAATGAACTCGTCAGATGACGACGGATACTTTCCCAGTCTAGCATAAATTTATGATGCAAAAAAAAACGAAAATACCGTTCAGAAATCTTGACCAGTTCAAAAACAACCATGGATAAAGCTTAAGATATATACATTACCGCGACCAAAACGAGTTGTTAATTCCAGTTGAACTTCGACCGCTATAATGAAGTGTGTATATCGCAAGAACACTTAGATCATTGCTTCATCATAAAAGTTACTTTAACTAGATAATTCACATTGCGTCATCAGGTCAACAAAAACTTAAACGTGCTCTCCACTAAACCAGCCTTTGTCACGCGGACAGTGAAAAGCCCGATGGTGGTGAAGCGTACCTTGAATATGCACCTTGATGAAATGAAGGTTTCATAAAAAAACATCTTTTTTTAAGTTAAATTTGCTATTTGTGCCAATCTTGCTCGAGTGTGGTCTCGTTATATATATATATATATATATATATATATATATATCGTTATAGTGTTATATATATATATATATAACACTATAGATTTTTGGTGAAAATAGAAGAATGATTCCAAGAAATTCTTTTCGGTCTAATTCTATCATATTAATTAAAGGGAGCCTTGTAGACAGTTTCATATGCTGTCCAACCATTCCTGACACTACAGTCGGTGAGTTGATACAACGATTGTTTTATAATGTTAAATGTGGATAACTATTCCCTACAATTCTTGCCGCTAGTAAGAACATCATCATTCTATTTAACCAGGCCGTTAGCCCGTATTTTACTGCGTGCTTCAAACAGTGAGTCATCTATTTCTTACGGTCCTTAGCTAGCAGGAGCCAAGCAATCTGTATTCTCGATGAACGACAAAACAAAGAAGATCACTCTGCCCTGTCGAAGCTTGAGTTTCGATGAATTCTCATGGGATCGCATCTGTTCGAATTCTTTCACCTGCTTTTTATCGTAATATTACGTACAGGTGACGTAAAATGTAGTGTAGACGTGATGCCTTGAGTTAGCGCTACAATCGTGCTTGGCACTACTAACATTTAAGGAGCAATACACACAAATGTATACAATATTTCAGTATCCAGTGTTTGACCATGAAACTTATATACTAAAAAACGCCTGGTCGACAGCCCTTAGAAAAGCTTTGACAACATATGAGACTAACAGGCGCGTTGTCTGTCCTGTGCTATTTTTATTTATATATTTGGCTATGTGCTAATACTCGAAATTAGTTTCAGTAAACATCACCACAGGGACTGATAAGATAAAAGGTTGATTGATTTGATAGCGTTCTCCAATAGAACATATGGCTTCTCTTCAACAAGTGCGTCTTTGATTGGTTTAGTGATTAAATTAAACTGATATCAGCTAAGGAGTCAACGTCCCCTTTTAATTATTTCTCACCTTTCTTCTCGCTTGATTGTTCGTTGACGGCAGACCTGAAGAAATCTGGTACTTCTTTTGAAATATCTCTATGATGAATGTTTCGGGTCGTATGTTCGGTATCGCCCGTAAGCATTCCATCAGACGACTGGCTCTCAGTACGAAGTCAAAAGAAGTCGGTCTGTACGCGGGTTCGGACCTAGACAACAACATGTTTCAAAGACTAGCAGGCAGATACGTTTCCCGTTAAGCTACCACGGGGCCCCTTGAGTTACCTAGGAAACTATTTTCCGCGAACAGCAGAAGTTTTAATGCGCATGTTACCGAAAGATCCCGGAAGGCAGCCTTGATCGCATCGTTTCATCGCTGGTCCTATGCACCCGCTCTTAGCCTGTTTGGTTTTAAAGTAGATCCAATCGTTGCATATACGATACGCGTCATTTGAGAATCTCTTACAGTAGAAAACCTCGGACAATTAAATCGCGTCAAAGTCTTTTTCCTCTAAAAAGCACTGGGGCTACCTGAAATCACGTCGCGTGTGTTTTAGCCGACTCGCTGCTGCTATTCGGTAACCTACCTTATCGCTGTGAGCTTCCAGCAACGAAAACCTTCAAGACGAACCTTACGAGTCAGAAGCAAAAATTCACGGATATCGATGAAGTTCCTCTTTCTTGGGCGCTATGAAGGACAATAAGTGCAAAAGAAAAGCGATTAAATAGACAACATCACTCGCTTTGCTGGGCATGAATTCCACCACGGACCATACGGAAAATCAAACCTTCACGACGGCGTTTGTAACGGTTAGTTTATCACAAATACGTCTATTTAAAAATAAAATTTTTAGCCCATCGCTGTCCTTCTGTTTCCCCTCTTTTGTTCGCGATTTTCGAAATAGCTTTATACAAGAGTCTAGACGAACTGTGATTTTGATTAGCCACATTGTGCGCAAGGGAATGGTACAACAAATTATTCCCAATTCATAACGATAACTCTTATTCGAGCATTACTAACTTGGAGTGTTGATATGTGCCTGGATATTTGCTGAAGGCGTGAAGCCAGGAACTCGGCAGAACACATTTTTGCTGCTGCGACCACCCTATGCACAGGATGTTTACGTCCAGTCATGCGACCTTTCAGATTTCTAGCAACGTACGAGGGTATCGCTGGCTTTAAGTGGATGGATACACAGTCTTTAGAACTGAAATTTTTAATTTTTATTTGAAACAATCTGAGTAAATTACAAAAGCATAAATTCCGTAGAAAATAGGTTCACCTCTCATAGTGGCCTCTGGCGTAGTTACATGTAGATCGAAGACGTAATTATGGTTCGATAGATAAAGGAACGCCCTTCGATAAACTTCACGCATGGCTAAAGTCGAGACTAGCGATATTCCTGTAATAAAATGAAGATTAGTTTGCATCATTGCTAATTTTTACAGACGAAATTAAATAAGTTAATAATAAGAGAGTTAAGTATTTAGAATTTTTTTAAATGTTTCATAAAATATGAATGCAATTATTTTTTGTTTGTAAAACAACAAGGTTCCATATGCTTTTCGTCACAACGCAACACAACGTTTTACAGCAGATCCTTAAACATACTTCGTCGGACTTGTTGGTAGTTCTGAACGTATTCTGCTTAAAGGTATAGCAATTCAAAGTAACATTTAAGGTCGATGAGCTGTTCAGAAGAGCGTTCACCGCGACTTAAAGTATAAAATCGTCTACGGTGTACCGCATAGCCAGCTCGCCATTTACCTATTGAGTCGAAAATAGTTATTCAAGTATCAAAGTCCTGCCTATATTGAAGTCAATCATGTATCGCGTTGGGTGTAACCATCAGGTCTATATGAACTGCTTTAAAAATAAGTATTACTGCAATCGTTACGAAGTGGAAAAGTGTGAAAATTTCTATATTTTCAATATTCAACATTCAAATGTTAAAGCTGCTAACGAAAACCCAATAAAAAAACCTTCCAAAGATTCAATAGAAAAATATAAACATATGAAACGGTGGCCGAATGAACCGTGATACGCTTAGCTTTCCTCCCTCTTGATGAAATCTAAATGCCCAAAATGCTTTCCTATTCAGCTTGGTTCGTCGCTTGACGCTCAATAAGCTGGAGCTCACCACAGCGGTATTGTAGTGAGCGCTCCCGTAGTACAAATGCACATATTCTTTTACCTTTCCTAGACACTGGTACATGAGATGACAGCTGATAAGAAGTACAGCCTACGTGCTCTCGAACAACGGGATTCTGATTGATGTGTTGGCTCTTGGAGAGACCGATTCAAACGTAATTGTTAAGGCTGAAGATCCCTTTCATAATGATAGGCCTAGGTTTATATCTTTGAACTTAACAGAGCGTAAGTTGTTCAGATAAAAACACTCTGCGAGGTATGAATATGGGTTCACTGGGCAAAAAGGTAAATTTACACGGCGACATCTCTCCAATTAACGATTTACTTGAGCTATCTTTCAACGGAATCGTCAGCTTAAAATTAATTAACTTAATTTTTAAATTCGATTATATTAATTAAAATTTTATATTCGATCTAGTCACCTCACGTCCCTCATAGGGTCTTCTAGGGGATGGAGCAAGCCATCAGCACAAGAAAAAAGTAGCACAGGCATCCATGATTTGGATCAAGCAAGGTGCTCGAAAACGAGTTCGATAGGTGCCACGAGACGCCGAAACGTAAAAGGAAAATACGCGACCTGATCAAACAATTTGTGCCATTCAGCAAAAAGTATTAGATGCATACTGCTCCGTGAGTGTGTCACGTTGGAAAATAAACTCAAGTTATCTATCAGCACAGTGTTTAATACAAAAGTTTTCCCAAAACCTGAACGAAAAAGTTGATAAATTAGTCAATTGCAGACGTCGTACCTGGATGATAGGCACACATAAAGTCATTTGCTAAATGGTTCCGTGACTAAAAAGTGATCTAGGCCATATGACATGTGACACGACTCATGCCGTTTGAGGGGCACCATTGGCGCGGATGCATAACTAGTTCGTAAGTTAGTTGCATAATTGTAAGTGTTTATAAGTGATAAATGTGGGCTTCGAAAGCTTTCAGGTGCTCCAATTACAAAACGTAAAAGTACTTTCTGGGGCTTCCTATCTCTGACTGCAACGACGCCGTTATTAACTGCAGAGCAAAGCTCCGCTGACTAAAATAGATGTATGAAACATATAACTCTCCCCTTCCTCAGAGCGATTTGATACACAACAATTACCTTAATTATGGATTAGCACATCGAAATTAATGATCAGAGTACAATCGAATCCGTTTTAACTGACAGGCCAGTAATATCCGTGCAGGACCGTATTGGCCAGAGAGAAGTAATCCAGCACTATGGCGACTTCAAAATAATCATATGATTAATATATATTGCATTTGAACAATATGAACCGTTTCAGTTAAGTAACCCATTAGCAGTTATGAACTAACTATGTAGGAGATAAGTTACTGTCAAGTTTTACCGCAGAGGTAACTGGTCTGAGACCCGCTACAAATGTCGTTAATATACGAGAAGCTAGTTTTTTATCCACGCAGAATAAATCCTTTCTTTAATTGTTTCAGATTAGACAGTGAATGTGGTACAATTAGCACGTTAAAAATAGCTCGATGCGCATGTATACGACAGTACTAGCGTTAACGGTTTACGAACGCTTTACCAATTGAATTTTGTACGTAAATAGTCATTTTTAACGCACTTAATGAGGCTAGAGCTAACTGTGGTATACAGAAAAAAAATTAAACAAAGTTCTACTTTGAATTATTATATTTGAAGCCAAAACATGTGTCACTTTCTAGGCTCCTTCCGATCAAAGGAATGTCCTCCTGCTATAGACGGTACTCCACTGATTTTCTTTACAACTAATCATCGTAATTAAGTATCAGTCATGCTAAGAGGTCTATTACAAGATGATAACTACAGAAAAAAAAACTTGTGATGATGCGTTTAATGACGTTTCTACCACTAATGTAGCAAAACATTTATCATGAATTTCAGCTCGTTTGCTTTCTATAAATATATATAGTCAAAATCTAAAATTTCGGAGTTTGGAAACTTTGCATATATTTTGCCACTTAAGAACAGAACAAGCGCATCCGACGGGCTATATCCTCATCTGGTATAACCATTTAGAAAAATTTCTCTCCAAAAATACGCACGGGTTTAGATCTTTCCGAATTTGCAATCCCATGTATGTTATCAGCATTGAACTCCTCCATAGCATAGCACTTGTGTTCACGGACAATAGATACCTTCCTTTTCAGAGTTTATCGGCCACTAATGAGCATTCATCACAACGAAATTGCTCATTCACTAGTTGACATCAATCGACGTTCCACAACAATGTTTGCAACATACCATTATACATATATAGTTTCCCATGATAATGCACTCTCCGTTAAACATTACGCCCGTTATTTCGCGCGCAGCTAAATTTGAATACTGCCACTACGAAGAAAGCGAGCGGCTAACGTAGAAGAGCGCTAACAGGAGACTAAAACACAAACAAAGATGGGATCCCAAATGCCCCGTGTTTTGAGAGAAAGGGTAGCAACCCCCTGTGTACAACACAGAGAGCACACTGTTGCCGTCGTTGTCGTCTGCTGCGCGGGCGACGAGTACAAACCGGGTAAACCACAATCAGTGTCAATATCACGGCAGCCTGCGTGGGAAGAGCAGGGGCAGCCCCATTACTGTATCGCTATACCGACAGAGCAGTACGTCCGTGCAGTTAAATCACGTCGGCGGAAACGTAACACATGCAGACAGATACAGTAAACGTAGACAGTCTATCAGCATAAAAGAGGGGCGGTCCTTTTTATTCTGGTCGTGTGGACGGCGCATATTGTTGAGATCTGACAGCAACAGTCAGCTTAGCCGCCGCCATTGCAGCAGTCTTCTAGCTCTTGGCCTGCTGCTTGCCTCAAACGACCTTACCGACGTGACAGACTCGCTATAACGACGTTGAGTGTGAGTGGGTTAGCGAGCGGAGGATAAGTGAGTAAGTGGACTTGCCGCCTGTTATTGGTTAACTAGCGTCTACTACGGACAACATCTGTTACCGCTATTACTGTAGTAACGAAGTAGTTCTTATGTTCATTCAATACAATGCTCTACGAACAATTGCTGATTCGACAGTGTGTCGGCTGGTACCAATTAGCGGCACGTTCCTTGCGCCACTTCGGTGTAGTGGACCGGTATAGTAGACAGTTACCAGACAGAAAAATACTGTGAAGTGTTTGCGTTAATGTTCTCATATCAAAAGCGCATTTCCCTACTGTCTCCAACTGTCTATAGGCGGAAAAAAACGGAAAGCAACATTGGCCTATAAGGGAGCAGACGATAAATAGAAAAAAAAAAAAGACAAATATCGAGCAACCGGTACCAATAGCCACCCGCAAATCTGTTCATGTTACCTAGCGTCCTATATTACCACAGCTTCAAAGGGTGCACACGAGACGGCAGAAGGCAGCTAATTAGTGGTGGGAGTGAAATAGCGATAGAAAGAGAGAAAAAAAAAGCTTGAAAGGAGATTGCCCGCAAAATCTAGCTAGATAGAGTTGACACCGAAGACACGCTAGACGTTTGAGTAGATATTTCAGTGTTTCAGTATATTGAGATTTTTCGGTAACAATACAAAAGTAGCTATGTCAGCGGAACACGATAGAGGTTAAACACATTTTTACCTACTTACTAAGCAAGCTTGTGAATGATAGAAAAATAAAGGTCGAACAAGATTGACAAAACAACGCGGTTCAGTATACGTGGCTTCCCGTTCCATTAGTGATAGATCGACCGCCATATCGCGGAACCATATCTAGGAACACGGCTGAGTAGATCAATTGCGAAACAAAAGCACTGATTTAGTTGAAAGAAAGTTTTCATCTACAAACTACTAACGCAAACGAGGCAACACATGTGGTCTTCCTCTTTAGGCGTGTTAATGAATTTGTTTGTATTCGGTTTCTAGAAAGCAACGGGTCGGGATATTACTTTTGGGCTGTGCGTACAAACGTGCGTCTACTTCTGTGTAATGTTATGTGCCTGTGCGTGCTCGTGCTTGGAGGCGGCTGAATTCGCTGACAAGCCGTTACTAACAATTGAACAATGATCGACTGCTGTTGTCCATCTGCTCAAATTGACTACGTAGCGAATGAAGACGGGCTATTGTAGGTGACGACAATAAGAAATATAAGTTAACTGCTTGCTTAGTACCTCTCCGAAGGCTATAACGACGATAACAACGTGAAGTTTTGCTGTGGTCAGAGGAGCTTGCTACTGATATTAAGAAAGCAACGAGGTACGCCATTCCTGCTAGCAACATGTCACACCGACCGCTGACTAGCGGTCTTACGGATGAGGTAAGGAATAGACAAATCTCGAGGATCACTTCTGTGTTGAGTTAGTATCAAGTGAACACTTTTGTAGAATTTCGATACTTCCTAGTGCGCTGTAAGCGTCTGCATAAAACCCCCTGGTAAACCTTTACAACTTACAAATGTTCAGTTGGATTTGTGATATATAGTTTGTTGTAGGTCAGCGGTGTTATCTTCTTCATGCGTAATAAGCATTGATAATCGGGCAACAATGAATTCTTCGCGGCTTCTTTTATCGGCAGTTTTACATCGTCTCCAGCGGTGGGATTTCTGTAATGCTAAAACGTCCGCGTGGTTGTTTGTTTCTTATCGTTAGGTGCCGACGGGCAATTGCTGATTAGCCCTCCTTAATTGAATCTTCGACACTGCTTATTTTGAGTTCTCGATTAGCCGTCTTGATCGAGCCTACCTTTCAGCATCGTGCCATCGACGATCCTCTGTCTGAGCTTGTTCTGACTCTTGTTGGATGTCCGATATCGCGACTCCTTGCTTGCTCTATGTAGTATAATTTTATTAATTAGGGATGGTTAGTTAGCGTTGAGACTACCTGTCCTTTTCCTCATAGCCGTGGCTTTATCCATTGTATAGGAGACTGTTTCTGTGCGAACGCGGTTCAAGGAACTTTATGGATCACGAGTGCGTGACCAAATAGCGCACTCAGTATTTTCGTGGGCAGCGGACCTTGCCAAGCGATGATATATAAGTACTATACTGATGTATACGAAAGGGGATCAAATGACTGAGGCAAGTGACCCACAATGGAACGGATAAGGCCACTAATAGGCTGCTCGTCTTCCATATCTGTCTTAGTTAACTCTTTTTACTTTTATCAGTTGAGTTTTTTTCATCTTTTTTCTTTGTTGTTTTTACGAACTAAACTTGTTCTTCTTACTTCACGGAGGACTATGCCATGAATTGACCTACGACGACGGGATGCACTTACAAAGTTATTTACATATGTTAACGTATTTCATGTTCAGCCGTTGTTTGTTTGTGTATGTTGCTTTGCTTTCCTTAATTAAAGATGTCCTCTTCGTTCTGCCCATTGACCCGGCGAAGTTGTCGCCGGTTGTTACTCCCTCGTCCACCGATGCAAACTTGCGACAGAAATCGTCCACGTATCTAAAGTCGTCGTTTCTGTTTCGCCGTTACCCCTGTGTTAAGCATTAGGGTTCCTGCGACTGCCATTCTTACATTGGTTTGGTGCCTTTTTGGCGTTATGTCTTTTTATGGAAACGATAAACAAAAAAAGAAGCATCTCCGCGATAATCATATACTAAGGACCTTCATTAACGTAAGCAAGCTGATGCGTTTGCTTGAGGAATCGAAAATTAATTTCGAATTAAAATTGCAGCTTATTTGTTTCAGTATATTTCCTCTGCAAGATTTGAATTGATTTGCTTTTATTCTACCAGCTAAGTAAGGTCATACCCTAAGGTTTATATTACTTTATGAAAAACGTAATATTCAATATTATATAGATTAGCCGTAAGGTGAAGGTATCATTAGGTAAAGAGCGGATAGTTATTTCCTTTTGCCCGTGAATTTCAGTCGAACCGCAACAACCTATATACGTCGTTACGTGCATATGTCCGTACGGAAATATTTCGCCTTTTTCTAATAACCAGAATATTCGAAGTAAGCGAAACACGCAACCGATTTTTACGCTAGATAATATGCAGTCATAGTTTTAGCTTTCGTATAAAAACTGTAGATAATTCTACGTCTGTTAAAGAAAACACTTGCACTTTGTTCGTGTTGATGGCAAATTTCGTTTAATCGATGTAGGTCCTAGATCGATTTTGTCTATAGACGACGTTGTACCATAACTGGAGCTCTTCTTCGAATACGCAGTTCTATTTATTATAAAATCATACATACAACCGCTACTACCAGTTGTGATTCAAATTGCTTAAAGATGAATGTTCATAGTGTTAGCCATTTACGTATTTGATCTTTCAGAAATGAATAAACGAAGTACTTGAACGCCTATTTTAACGAATGCTAATTCCATTGTAAAATGTAGGCATGTGAGCAAGCTTTTATTCAAAAGTTACGGCAAGAGTTCCAATCAAAAGAAGTACTTTACTTTGTTGACAGTGTTGTGTGCTAACTGTGTCAGTAGCACTCCGTTCGACAATAAACACTCACAAATGAACTACAACTAAATATGGAATATTGTGTTTTATAAGACCAAACCTGATAATTTATTCCGTTTCTTTTGCTTGTATCATTTATAGATTGGTGTATTTCACTATGTCAATTGAACATATATGCTCAACTGTCACTGCTGATACTATCTTAGTGAATATTCCACAATAATTTGCTACTATACTAACTGTAGAGAAGTGAGAATTAGAATGGTTTACTGGATAAAAAATCATCGTATTAACATGTGTCCTGTTAGTCGTGGTGTCCCGGAATGAGCTGTTTTTGTACCAAAAAAAAGTTTGCCTGTCTCTCCGTCAAGACGCTATTTCTTTGGATACCTTTCCATAGACAGTACGGTACTGATTGGTGCCAACTATGAATATACACAGTCATTAGACATTGGTTGTTTCTCATTAAAAATGTAGTAATTATTAATGACAATCATATTTGGGAGCAGGTTATGATAACAGTGGCTTAAGACAACCTTTACAGAAATGGTGTGTGGCGGTGGCGGGTGGATCCGAAATGATCTAACAGTTCACCAGTGAAGTTGCACTTTACTTAGTGTTACGTACAGATCGATTATAATTTCGTGGGACACACACGTGCGTAAGCCTCTTTACTAACCTTCGTAAGCTCGTAAAATGTTTATATCAGCTTTGCGTTTCATCTGACGTTTTTACAGAAGATATTTTACCGCTTCAACGCGCTTTCTAGCATAATGCGAATTGTGCATTGATAGCTCCATTATGTACCTACATTTTTGTTTTAATCGAGATCTAGGGCGACAAAAGGGAAAGGCAAGGCTAAAAAAATACCCAGAGGGAAATGATCGTCTTGGCTGATGGTCTTGCAGATGATCGTGTGAGAACAAAACGCCGTCCAGTCAATGCGGTAGTTCTCTGTAGCAGGATAGCAGGCTGCTGTACTGAGTAGTTTAAATATATGAAAACTCTACGAGAGAAGAAAAAAACGCTTTCAAGAATTAACCTGACACGCACGATATACCCGTTCTCTACCAGCAAGTGTTTTATTTTTCTTTGTTTTTTTTTTTTTTTTTTTAATTAATATTACCTGCAAAAGAGTTGCTCCTTCTTACGCCTGAATTCGTCCTAAACATTGACAGTTTTCCAATTCAACAAAATTCCGAGTGTGCTGGCGATTTGGCGCTTGTGTTCGACAGCTGATGATCGTCGAAGTCCATCAGGTTTGCACTGAGCACAGAAATTCATATGAAGCTACAAAATGGAGCTCAACGGCCACATCGATGATACGATCATGCTTACGGCGGCTGCGTAGCGGCGCAGACACTTCCAGCCAGGTCAACCCAACCACTGCCTTCGAAAGTACGTCGCAGAGCACCATTAATTAACTTTTTTAATTTGGTAACTAGTTCCGCTACCACATATACTGCTAAAGCTCCTGTGCTTTGAATAGTTTCCATCGTACCTGTGTATTTCTAATACATTTTCTACTTTTTGTTGCTATGCTAAACGACTGATACGGAATTATGGATACGATTGGAGGGATACGGCAAAGGTGACGTGCTTTTACATTTTTTCGATCGGGGCAGCTCATGGCTCATACAGAGTTTCAGTTCGCACAATAGTGCATATGCCTCAAAAGCTGAGACACAGGCACGACTATGGAATAGAGCTTTCGGCACTAGGAAAGTATGATAGCATTACACAGACGTAGCCCAAGTCTGACGGGACTGATGCGTAGACATGAATGATTTCTGATGATACCTCTGTGGTTTATTTGTCTAGTCAATAATAATATAGAATGCTGCAGAACCGCCATTACTTTTGTGAGACAGACTACTCAAAAAACGGGTTGTTTATCATCGTTTTCCATTGCTTGGTTTAATAAATAATCAATTTGAACACGAAAACTTAATATGCACGTGTCTATGGGGTGACTCAAGTCTATCTGATTTTGTTAAGGTAATTGGCTTACGGTTGATTTTTGGACGGTACAGAACATACAGAATTCCACGTGTTTATCACTGATTGATATAGCTTGCAGAGATCTATCGCATTGCATAGATCAAAATCTGTCATAAAGTAAGCGATTTTTTGAAAAACTCTCCTTGTTGGAGGTTTCCGGCTTTACAACAAAACATTATGAACACTAGAAAATTAAGAGCAAACTAAAGTAAGCAGTTTAAACAAAATTGAGTTTTCTATGTTTCTTTTTATGGATGGTAAATGCATGATTTTTATGGAATTTCGTTTGCCTCCTCTTATCGCAGAGGGTATATGCCCCCAGTCATATAGGCTGGCTAATTTTCTTTATATTTTAACAAAAAATCTAGTGGGGAAAACATTTCACCATTGTACTGCACTTAAAAAGTGCATCATTTCAAATTAGTGGGGGCACAGTTGCTTGATTCAAGGCGTGGTGTTGTTATCGGCCTGTACACTGTTCTAGAATTTTTGTCGTGTTAATTTTAGGCTATAATAAATCTGAGTATTTCAATTCCATTGTAACTCGCAACCTGTTAACATTATTAATCACTCACAGAATTGCTTGCTTACTAAAAATGTCCAGGCTATTTTCATAGGCGTAAATTAAACTAACGCAAAAAATCAAATAAATGATTTTTTTTTGTACATTTCTGTGGTAAGAACCTTTGCGCGTGATATTTCTGCATGCTGCCCAGTGGATGCTGTGTATATGTATGCTTCTTTAGAACCTTTGATTTGCTCGAAACTGCTTTCTTTAAATGGCAAGCTATTTTTGTTAGCTGACTGTGTCATTCAGCGTCCGTTATCACGCCAGGACAACTCGTACCTACTAAAATTCAGTTGCTGATTCATCCGGGAGTAAGGTACCGATAGTATCCAGCTGATATTAGCATCGATCATCATATTTACGCTAATACCTCATTATAATATAAGAGGTTTGCTGGTTTGAACCTCACCAGTACTGGTAAGCATGCTGAATCGAATCCTGTGTCAAAGATATAGCATAAATCACTCTTACAATTCCTGTCGCCATATTATACTGCTTTACTCCGTAATTTTCAAAGAAATTCTACTCGTGTACTGATTAAATTTCTCTAAAATTTTCGTATAGGCTTAGATGAGGTAATACCTTAACTCGAAACTTGAAATTTCAACCTATTTCGGGTTTGTCTTACACCGATAATTTAAGTTCAACGATTGTTCTTGGCGATCTGTTTGGGTTTGCTATATATTCTTTTGTTTCCCATCTACAAACAGCAGAATGTTATTTGACGTACTTCAGTTATGATCCGCAACAGACATTTACGTCATTGTAGAAATATCCAGTATCCGCTTCATTTAAAATGTGTTCTATTTATTACATAGTATTCTATAACTAAAACTGCTTTATATTCTATTTTAAAATAGAATATCAAAGACACAGAACTTCGTTCTAGTTCTCACGCCACTCAGATACTGCGAAAATCATTAATTCGATAAGGAAATATCCAAGGAAGCTTATATAAACTTTTCTTATTTAAAAATATGCTTTCATATTACACGGTACACAGTGTTGATATCTTTACGTGACGCTTATTTGTTCGTTCGCAGCGTTGTTGTTGTTGTTGTTGTTTAGAATTTACTAAAGTCACCCGCATCATTGTCGGGTGCTAATAACAGAAGGGCTTATGCTGCTGTTTACCTGATAGTTACTTGATGATCAAATACGCCTACAGCTGAAATTTACCATCGTGGTAGACACCACGTCTAGTCACTTTGACTAAGCGTATGTAGAAACTAAATAGCGAAGCAAACTTTATATACAATGTTATTGGAAGAAATGCTGGACACTTGCTAGGATAGTTCCATAGGAAATACCTATTTAAAAGAACATCGTACATGAAGCATATTGGTTTTCCGAAAGCACTAAACAATTCATTATTATGCATCTCGTTGTTGCCATAATAGAAAGATAGTTGTTGGAAATCCAAGCATCCATAAGCGAACATCTCAGAAATCTAGTTCAGTCATCAATATCTACCCATATGTATCTGACATCGCACGAGACTCCTATATAGAATCCTTGGTTTGACAATCATTGTGTCTCAGACATACACTATGGTTTTTTTTTCGGGGTTGAAATGATCGTACACTAATTAGAAGCCGTAGCAGCGTCAAGATATAGCTTTCGCGTTTTAACCTAATTCCGCCGGTTTTGTCGGCCGCGGTTACCAAAACAAGAACCTAGTGTAATTTTCATTTTATCTATTCCGAACATAGCTCCGGCTATATATTATAAACTACAATTACTAGAAGACTATTATCAATTTCGACAGTTATAGCTGGCGCAATAAGTCATTATTACAGATGTTCCATGAGAAAATTACTAAAACATCCACTCCTGTATCTCTTACAGACGATTCTACCGTCGCGACTTCTTGTGGTGCTTTGCTTTCTTGTCTTTCTTCGTTCCTATAGCTTCCAAGAGACATAAATCAAAAGACCGTTACTAGGCCATCGTTCGATGCTACCTGGATGGTGTCCTAGCACGTGCATTAGGCCCAACATTCAACCGAATGTTACCCCCATTAATAGTACAGATTTCTTCTTAAACGGTTGCTGTTCATTGCATTATATGGACATACTTCAATATTCATTTTCTATTGGCTTTACTGTTGTATGGGCTTCGATTTTAAATCGTCTAGCTTCGCTTTCGTTTGTTTTGTTTTGGTCTATGAAGCGATAGTCAACAAACTCTGTATTCGGATTCGCTCGTTCGAGGCAACCTTAAATCAGCATAGCTTAAGTATCTTCCGATTCAAGTTATATAATAATATTAACCGGTCAATAGTGCTATTCAGAGCTAAATCATGTGTGCGTTTAAGCATGGTCAATAACTAAGAACGTACACATGAATAATTACTTGCTTACAGATAGTATGCCAAACGAACATTGCCGATAATTATATAAATTAATTTAACACTGTTTGCCGCTATAATTTTTTTTTTTCGCTGTTTTCGCATATTTTAATGCTACACAGGATGACGACTACGAAGAAGATGAGCTATCAACTGGATCGGATACAAATTGGCTTCGATTCATCCTGGGACTACAGCTTGAACTGTTTTTGTTTATGTATGCGATGTCATATTCGATGCGATTAGTCATCACTCAGGACTGGTTCCTTTACAAATCATGTTTATCGAGGTAAGATATTTTTGCATCTGGCATTGACCCCTTACCCTTACTTATTTTAGCTTGTTGCTAGTGGCCTCATTGAAGTGGGGGTCCGCTCTTTTCGAGAGAATGAAAATAGTCAACTAGTTTAGTTAGGGCACATCATGAATCTCCTAACAATCTGTACTTTATCTCTGTAGTATTGTTGTCCTCATTCGGGCAGGGTTACAATAGGTTAGATTAGATAAAAGTAGAGATTAGACAGTTAGGTTGGCATTCATGACACGGACGGGATCGACTTTCCTGCTACCGGCCTTTTCGTCATCCTTTTAAGGCCAAGTGTTATCTTGTTGTTAGTAAAGAAGTCAACACATAAATCTAGCTAGGTCTGAATCTTCTGAGCTGATCTGCTTTACAGCCATGCATTGGGTATCCTTATTTTCATGTGTAACCGTCATATTAGCTGTATGACATATATCCAACCGATTCGGGCAATCAGCTTTGTCAGGCACACTTACGATTCCTTGGCGTCCGCTTGACATTATTGGAAAACGGGTGCGTCATATGACAGGCTAACATTGAGTTTCAGAAACTGTGTATACTTGTTAGAAGTAACAGAATTGTTTTCTATTATTATATTCCATTTGAAATCATGTCAGGAAATTTCAATTCAACTTAGTACGTTCTTTCATAATAAAGATATGTGCCGCGCAAAACGACGTACCCTGCCGCAAACTTGGCTAGCAGCTGTTGATGCTCTCTGGAATAACGGATAATGTAGTAAAAATAGATGAAAGAAACAAATCTAAAAATACCTTTGTAGACGTTTTCTCATGATCAATTAGCGAATTTCCAACAGGCAGTTAAAATACCGTGATTGGTCCCTTTATGGGCATGTAATGGTCCATACGAAGTAAAAAACTAAAGGCATATACGAATCTGTACGGTAGTCTGAAAATATTAACTATTCGTCAAATACGGGCTACGCTTTTTAGTAGGTAATGGTAATGGTATGAGGCAGACGTTTCGGAACAATAACTTAAGTGCATGGATGTCTGCTAAGAATTTTTCGTATCGCTTTAGAATAGTTGCAAGAATAACTTAACCAAAAATTTATCTTGATGTCAAGCTATCGTATAAAGAATATCGTGTTATCGATGTATTACTATGACACCTATATGGCAACCAGTGTTGGACTTCAGTTTTAAAATTTGAATCATTATTTGCTTTTTTTCGCTGTAGGTTCAACTATAATGAGAGTTTGTGTCATCAAATTCTTGATCGGGACAATGAGAGTTCAGATAAAACGGCAATTACACGGTAAGCGAACAGACCATTCTTCACCAGACCATTCAGAAAAATGAGTGCTGAATTTTCTGTTTTAATAATTTGTTACAATCTCGCAGCTAAAACGTGATAAAATATATTAAGAAAATTTGCAGTCAGCGGGACATTTTGGACGAACCTGAGACGAGTCAAAAGTTACGACTCAAACGAGACCATTTCAAAAGCTAATTTTCTCCGGAGTTCCTTTATTAATCTGCAAAGCAAGTTAAGGATTCAAACGGAAACGGCTTGACAGCCGGCAATAGATATAGGAATATTGAAGATGTCTACAGGTAGTGAGCGAAACAGACAACTACTTGGACGGTTAAAAATCACAAGTTCATTCTGTTGTGGGATTCGCAAGTGTGTTCTGATAGAAGAACGTAGTAAGCATTGTGATTTATCGGTAACTTTATCGGTAGGGCTCCTATGAACGAAACGATTACGGGCTCAGCGTCATAAAGATCAATGGGCTTTTTGATTGCGGCGCTGTGGGGACTAGTTAGAAGAACGGATGGCCTAGGTCCACTAGTTTAAAAGTGTAGGGCTATATAAATTTTGTACATTGAAAAAGAATAATTTTTTACATATTTCTTCATATTCTGGGTTAACTTTCGCCAACCAGACACAAAGATAGTTCATCTTTATTTTATAATTTTCATTACGCATACGTATTCGTTATATATATGTATATATGTTCGTTACGGTTGCCTTCTGAAAAGTGCCTTGCACACTCATTAATGATTAGCGCGTGGACATCGAACACTGGGTAGCGTGGATCGCACACACTAAAAAACACCCCTTAAATTTAGATGGATCGTGAAGTATATGAGCTAAGCTGTACCGTTGTTGGACTGCTACTAGTAAAAAAATATTAGGTGCACTTTATTCATTACAATCGTAAAAAACATTGATATTTAAAGTAAGATACACTGCCGAAAAGTCCAGAGATATTACATGCGCTAGTAGCAGCACATCCAGCAGCTAAAGTTACCACAATAATAAAACACGTTACACTAAATTGAATAAAAGTAGACTACACTTTACCTGTGTCGAGATTATAAACTACTTGAGTTGCTCGAAATTGACAGTTTACGGCAATGCAGGTGAAAATTTGCTTGGAGAAACCCAGAAGCAGGCTCCAGTACGGTACGACGGCAAATTCACGACTGAGAAACAACAGTTCGAAATGACAGTTTATCAGTACAATCCAAAAGTGCATTTCTAATAATCCTTCTATTTCAATCAAGGCGTTAGTTCAATGTGAGCAGATGTGCTAGTTCACGGATTGTTCACGAAGGCCATAGGGACGCATCGTATATCACAAAAGTCGAGCAAATATTCTTCAAGAACATTCAAATTAAGAAATTTAATTCGGTAATTCCTCCTGAATTCTTTCAAGAATAAAGCAGTAGGTCGTCTTTACAAGAAGATATTTATCATTCATGAAAAATCAATCGCGCAAATGCTCGCTAACTTGCTCACTATCTACAGGATGCGCCTTGTGTGAATGAAAGCAAATTTCTGTTCGATGTTCATGTCCCGAGTGACGGAAAATGGTTGTACGATCGTGAATAAGTTAGATGTCTGAAAAAATATACATCTTCAAGCAATATTGTGCATTGGGTTATACAAGCCGATTAATGTAGATACACTGTTTAAGATAAAAAAGCATTCTGCGGTGAATATACATGCCGTACAACTCCGATTTGAGGCTATTAGATTACTACGCATAAAACATTATTAAGCAAAATCCAACAACTCTTGATATGGTAACGTCGACTCGCGTTTATATCAACGAAAACGTTTGCACATCTATAAAAGGATCATTTGAAACGACCTTATGAACGGCTTGAGCCCCGAAGCGTGTAATTGTGCAGGGTGGTGTTTAAATTGAATAAACTTGAATGCGCGAAGTGGCACTTCTAGAACATATAAACATATTCGTTCAAATAGAAGAACTCATAACAAATAGTGCGGATTTAGATACCCCGTTATGTATACTGGTAAAAAAAAACATTCGTTAGCTAGATATTTCCTCTGAATTTACTCCTCATGCCACTCGCAACGCAACAGAATGCGCTGAGTGAATGCTGTGGGCTGCTGCCGGTAATTAACTTTAACTGTGTTTTTTTTAGGGTTGCAAACATGTACAATTTGTGTCTGTTCCTTGTCCAGTTTGTTCCCGCTGGCCTTCTTTCGATCTTTATTTCACCTTTTGCTGATATCTATGGCCTAAAGGTACCACTTATGATAGCCACAGCCGGAGGATGCGTTCAGGTAAGTGCACACATAGGGTGACCTTATACGTGTAGTTTCGCTAGCGTTTTCAGCAACATATTTAATTATCCGATCTTTTTCGATGTAACCCAAAATAGCAAATATCTCGTAGATAGATTCGTAGCTCGAGGCTACCGGTAGAAGAATTACCACTCTTATGTATATATTTATACCGACTATGCTCAATATATAAGTTTTACTTATATAAATATGTATAGTCAAGGCAAAGCGCCTTGAGGTTCTACTTCTCTGTTGTTCCAAAATTTAATTGCCTCAGTCTGTGCTGAGGATACCCTATCACTAATACCTAGGCATGAATTCAATTTTAAATCTGCATTCTTAATTTTGTCTTTGATTATTTTGTAGGACCTTCTAACGATTCTGACAACCGTAACGCCATCACTCCCAACTGTTCTAACAGCTTTGTGCGCTATACCGAACGGTATGACCGGCGGCCTCGTGATTACCTGCGCCTCTGTGTATTCACACGCCGCGAGGAACTCGGCGGAAAATACGAAGACCGTCCGATTCGCCGTTATTATCACAGCGTTGACTCTCGGCTTCCAGTTGGGAATGTTCGTCAGTGGACAGATCTTTGCATTCTCGCACAAGAAACACGTTTCTGTATTCATCACCTCGGCCATCATTCTCGGCTCCTGCCTTGTATACCTTTGGATAGTGGTGCCGCTTGGTGATGAGATTCGCAATGCCACACGTCACGAACTCATCCGAGTATGTTTATCCAGCGCGATCCAATAAAAATAAGTATAGAATAGGAGCTGATAGTTAATTGAATATACGTTGTGCTGCTAATCAGTACCTGAGATAGTCTCGTAGGCTGCTAATGCCAGCTAGTTTCATTGAAGTCTTCAGTGCGCTAAACGAGCTTGCCTTGATCTTACAAAGAGCTCACAAGTTATTTCTTTCGTTTAACTTAAAATTAGTGAAAAACACTGTTATCTTATGTTAAATAAAGGACTGGCGTTGCGATTTCAGTATAATACCTGAAAACTAATGAGCTATTTGCAAGCTAGTCTCCTCCAATCTAATAAGCGTTGCCAATATATATATTATGTATTTACCTCGTTTTGATCGTATTTGTTGGGTTTTGGATGGGCTTATTCAGGATCTTTGTCGCGTTGACAACTTCACTGAGGGCTTTAAGGCAGTCTTCCGGCAAAGGCCAGGCAGAAATCGTAAAAAATTGCTCCTGCTTATGGCTTCCATGTGGTTCGTCCTTTTTAATAGCGAAAGTAAGTCTTACGTCGAACGCAACATATGGTCGAACAGCAATTTGTGTCCATTACTTATAATGTGTTAACGACTCTTATAATATGCTTAACTGTCCTTCAAAGGCAATTCTATCGCTGTTTGGTACATGCATTAATGTAGTTACGTGTACTTCTAACGATGAAAATTTCAGCTGCACGAAATATCAATTATTATTATACGAAAAAACGCTACAATTGGAATCCGACAGATTTCTCCAACGTTACAGCGGCATTTGGAATATTTCAGGTACGTTTAGGCTTAGTAACCGTATCGGTAAGAGGCAAATCATGCCTAATGGTTAATACCAGTATGACAGCAGGGCCAATACAAAGACGGAATAGTTACACAGTAGATCTCAACAAATACCACCTCTTAGAGCAAACTGTTCCTTTGGTGCTTACCGTGTGCTGAACATCCAGTTGAACTGATGACCGAGTATTTCACACTATGGATCACTTTACATACAAAATCAAGGAACCTGCTTGAAATTTATTTGAGATCGTTTTCGGTATGATTCCCTGCTACAATATTTATTCAGGATTCATGGATTTAACTATGCGATATTTTTCCTGCTTCAGCTGGTTGCAACGGCTACTTGTATCGCTGTGTTTAGTCGCGCTCTTCGCCTGTCAGATCCCGCATTCGCTTGTATTGGAGTGGTAGCATTCATGGTGCAAAATGCTGTGAAAGCATTCGCGGATAAAGAACGGCTCTATTATCTTGGCTATACGTTCGGCGTGCCCGGAGGTACCGCGGCTGTCGGTATTTCTGCGGCTGCCTCCCGTATCATCGGACCCTCTGAGACGAGTACGTTTTGCTTAGAGCATTTTCACCTATTTCTTTACTATGTTCCGTATTTTTCATGCGAAGATAAAAGATTTCCCTTATTTTACGAGTAGGACTAACGTGATTTTCCTCTTCTTGCTTTTTTGAACTCTGTGCGATTCTGGTGACGCCTGATTCCTTGATACGTCTCGCAGCGAAAGTGTTTTCGTTCTGGACGACGTGCGAATCTCTGGTACCGGCCATTGGTGATGTGATATCATCTCTATTGTTTAACGCCTTCCTGGGGGTCTTTCCGGGATTGCCATTCCTGCTGGGAGCTGTACTGCAATTGATTCCTCTGGGCGCACTAATCTATTGTATTCGACATCCAGAGATTGAACAAGACGAGTTCGTACATCGACGACTGACATAAGAGCCACTGCGCTGCCGAATTTGACTTAGTGGCAAAGGTTCCGGCCCGGAGACAGCGGACATCGATTACAGTGGTTTACAAACAAGGAAGTAATATCAAGCCCCCAATTGATGGTAGTAGCTGTATCCGCCCTTTTTTTTGATGATGCTACTGGTGAGTAGAGGGAAAAGCTACATCGAGGTGTTGATTGTTTATTATGATCGACTGGATCAACGACTTCGAGAGACATGTTGAAGTAAAGATTCTGCGGCGAGTAGTGGTCATCACAAACGAACTGAAGACCGGGTACGGCCTGAATAAATAAACCCATTCTGGTCGTGGGTACTTTAACGTAGCAGCAACATTAGCTGGATGCATCCTCTAAATTCATCGACATAAATTTCAGCACAAAAATAACTTGGCATTTTCTTAATTAGGAAAGGCCAGCAGCCGCCTAGATTACCTTGCTTTGTCCATTAGTGTCGCGTATTTTATTGTGTTCGATTAGTTTGGCAATTAAGTTCCTGTTGAAACCCGCTAGTACTTTTTAGCGACGTTAGTTAATATCTATCTCATCTCAGTGGATTTGTTCTGTTCTTTTCAACGATATAGATATTGCTCATTGCGATTGGCATTTTATCTGCAAATACGGGATATTATTATTGATTTCGAGCAAATATGTTCAACTCTACCGAGCTTGTATATGTAGAAATTCTGTCGTGATGGTGACGAGAATAAAAATGATGATAAACTCAACGCGACACGGCGTCAAAAGCACGAGGAGATAATCACCATAGAATCGAAATACTAACTATAACAATTGATATAAACAAGACGAAGAACGTGATAAATACATTCCCAACGGCTGGTAAGGCCTGTCTACATATTGTGCATCTGATCAAAATCTGTGTACTCATCATGTGATGTGATACTTATAGCATATGGAGACAAGTTTGATAGATCGAAAAGAAGCCGGTTTACTTAGATAAAAAGGTTAAAGAAACAGCGCCCGGGTCGCTGCCCGTACAGAGCCTATTCTATAACGCGTTTTACTCTTAACAACGCTATTTTCCGACCTATTAATAACCAAAGAAAGGCATACATACACTCAATACGCAGTGATACAAGATAAAAAATATAGATATGTTATTACTACAAGCTCTATTAACTGTTGTGTGAATGTGGCATATTGATAAGCCCATATTTTTATTGCATTGTCACTAGCTTGGTATTAGTATAATTCCGAGAGCCTATTTATACATGTATTCATAATGAAGATGTAAAGCAGAATTTTTCACGGTCTCTTTACATCCTTCGAAATGTTTTATTTACTAAATCGGATATAACTTTATTGAATTATAAGCTACATAGATAGCTCCTGAAAGAAAAATGCTCTTCGGTTGATATCATTACTTCTATCGTTATTACTGATAATATGCCTGTTTCCTTCAATGTATCTAGGAATTCTTATAGACGGATATGCCAGCACGAGCTAACAAAAAAAGATTGCGAATTGATGTACTTAATTGTTTTTTAATAACCTAAGACAACTTTTCAAACAACTAACTGGCGAAATACATTATCTACCGTACAAATATGCACGTGTAATTATCTTTATAATAAGTCATAAATACAAACGTTGCAAATTTACTGTGATCTCCAATAATTACCATTTAATAATTTCCGTGCCAATTCAGATCGATCCGCTGCTTAGCACCATTTACAACCTATTGGCTTCCAGCTTTGCTACTAAATTTTATAGGGAAATAGCATAAACTGTAATGAAGTAAAAAATCACTTAGTCCGAATCATCTACAGGCGGGGTCAAAATGTTAACAGCACTATCAATCACAATTCGATCGCAACTAAAGAAGACGTTTACTGATTACTACGTAATGCGCTGCGTTGGGCTTCGTCCAATGCAGATGCTAAAATCAATAGCTGAGTTAACTAAAAGCTACAACATTTTCGATAAAAATTAACAATAAATGTCAATGAAATAACTATCTTTTTCACTGAGTCTTCCACTGAACATTTCCAACTATTTCGTGTCCGTTCTTTATGCTTATAAACAGACGAAAAAGAAGAAACGTTGTTATGACAAAACCAATCTACTACTACATCGACGAGTTATTCGCAAGAAGCGTAAAACGTCGAAAAGCTTGTACGCTTACCAACTATTCCGCTATAATAGAACCCAACGAAGGTCAAAATGTGTATTCGGTTCGTAGTCTCAAAAAGCTGAAAACAAAAACGATTCCCAGAACGATTTAGTCTTCTTCTGCTATAATCTGCCGAACATATGTATACGACTAAAGTTTCTGCCGTCGGAACCGCACTCCTTATTCAATAGTAACGTGTGTCTATTTCTCAAATCAGGACAAAATTATGTTACTATACAATATTATACGTACAATATAGCTAAAATAATATATACATATGATACGTTAATGTCTGTTAGTGAAGTTGCTCGCTGGCGGAACGTATGCTTATCAGGTCGATAATGAATGGACGAAAAGATGATCGTGTGTGGGATAAACAGAATTTAAGTAAATATAAAAAATATAATTAAAAAAAAAGCTTACCGCAAGTCAGTCTACCAAATAAGTATATTTTAACTAACTATTGCATGTATATGGAACAGGGGCGCCCTAATTATTCTAACACCGTTACCTGTCAGCTATATTATTTTCAGCCCTTTGAAAATCGGGCTCAAAAAACTGTTATCAAACGCACCAGGTTACTACAAACAAATAAAGGGTTTAACGATGACTTCATCCTTATATTGGTTATCTTCTATTATAAATATACATCGATTGTAAAATAGATGCTGATGTTATTATCCAAGATCCACACAAATATGTAAAGTAACTAGATACAGCCCATGCATAAACCATGCTTCTTCAGTAATGCAAAACTGGTGTGGTGGTAGCATTGAGGTAAAGTAACGCTAGGTTTTTGAAAACGCACAGACCTTGTTAATTTCGACGAAATGAAATAGTGGTTACCGACTATTCTTGTAGACGTTATCTTGCGTGCTGTTTTTAACTAGACAACTAATTTATCTAATTTTATATATTATACTTTCCCCAAGACGGGAACATATTGAACATGGCGAGATATAAATGGGGGCGTTATTACAAAGGAAGTAAAGCTTATACCATTGATTAGAAAATTACGACAAACAATTTTCTATAAACGTGTGTGCATCCTTGTTTCTAATCAAAACTCTCCTCAAGAGACCTTGAGCTTCTCTTAAATGCAGTTCTTCAATAAGCCACAATTTAGTTTGGCTTACTTAGCACTAAGGATGGTAAAATAATGAACTATGAATTGTCCATAATGCGTAAGAGTTATCTTTCACTTTTTATAAATTATGAAATAATTAATTATAACATAAAGCCTATATATGCACCAATTCACATCGACCACGTCGCTTGTTCAGCGTGAGCTCATACATCATGGCAATACACCCGCAGCGAATACCCTTGTATGTTATGGATCAACCTGACTATTCGTTACCAGTGACAATTCGCGATATCCATATTTGCCTATCTCGAAATGATTAAGGATTTGGGGAAAAAAGCCCGAGGTCGTTGATTCAAGTTGCGTTAATGTATTCCATACGACAGATGTAGTTGAATAACGAACTCATTTTTTAAAAATTACTTTAGCACAACAAGTAGTTTTCGGCACCGATCGATTCCGCGGGAATTTTTAAAATTTTCCGCTTACTAATCTTGTTTGTCGCCTTCAATAGAAGGTGACGCAAAAACACCAATAGACCAGTGGGACTGTGCGCACCATTGCTTATTTGATTTTCATGTTTCTATAGGTGTGGTCGCCCTCCACGCTCGAGTACTTCCGCCATGCCTTTTTATCGATATGGTTGCCTAACTTTATTATCTATCGTTCTCCTTTTAGCTCTTTCCTTCGACTTAAGTGTCACCACAGCACTATCACGAAGACTTTCTCGATTGAAATGTGTGACCGGCTGACCGCCTTTAGCAGACAGCCAATATGGGTAAGAGCATCACTAGCTGTAGGACATGATTTTTTCTCCACATATACATGCTGCGATGGAAAATCGTCTGCTTTTTGTTTGGCGATAGCTGCGCGCTAGTTTTTTTCCGTGTGCGGTAACACTAGTTCAACTAGCAACAGCAGTCGCCGCCGCCGCTGCTGCTGCCACATGAACAGTCGACGAACTAATCTGTACGAAACGCGATAGTGCGACCCGTTGATTTAGGCACACAGAAAGTTGCTGCATACGACATCCCCTAAATAAGAATATTACTACATCAGGTAACTATGGTGTGTACGTGTGTGGGGTCTATAGCAGCCTGTTGACACGGTGCGCGATCAGCTTAATGGCTGCTGTTGTTGTCGTTGTTGTTCGGCTATTTCGCTAATGTTTCTATTTGGTTAGCCTTCTTTGGGAGATTGATGACTGAGACCAAACGACTATACGAGCGACCTCTCTATGGGCTAGACCAAAAGGGGATCAAACGTCGACGCTTGTCTGGCGGCTTCTGCAGGAGCGCTGTGGTAACTGCTAGTTGTTGCTGCTTCGACTTTAGGTCGCGCTGCAACAGACCTAGCAACAATTGCAGAAGAGTAATAGTGGTCAACAGCGAAGTCGAAAGTAAGCATAAACTAACGAAGACGGACAGATAAACGGACCTTTCGGGCTCATTGCCTGCCAACATTGGCTGAATTATTAATAGAGAACGATCACGTCATTAGACAGCGTGTCGGTGTGGGTCGCAGGTGGTGCAGCTGTAGTAAGCTCGTTGATGGTCAGGAACTCGCAGTGTTAAGAAGTTCTGTTGAAATTTCACATCATCGTGTGGTCCTGTCACGTATTTTAGTGTGTGTATCTTTCCCTGTCTATGTGTGTTTCCGTATCGCTCTGTCTGTCAGTTCGTAAAACAACAGGCACAATTACACGATAAAAAAAGACAGCCGTATCGTAGATAAGAAGCAGCAGCTAACGAAAAATCTTAGCTGAGTTCGGGCGGATATTGGGCGTTGTGCTACGCAATTACCATCTCATGACAAATGTTGTCGTTGCTTACGAAACATGAAAAGATAAATGGCAATCATCATAAGAATATGCGCAATAATTAATAATAATAGTAACAAGAGATAGTTTGAGAGATTTTGCCTGGATAACGTGAGAGTGCTATTGCGAGGTATACAATCATCTGTTCAGAGGTTAAAATAACAGTCATTCCTACTAGAAGCTGTTTACGCGAATGGCTTGTCGTAGCTGGAGAAAAGCCCCTTATAGCTACTTCATGGAGGTCGCAATCTGTATTGTTAGATGCGTGCGTGCTGTTTCTGTCATGTGCTGGCTACGTTTTCTCATATCACTGTGTTGTCTCTTCACGACTCGATAGGCCAACCGGACTCAGATGGAAGCTGTCCAAAAAGAAAAAGCAGAGTCCAAACTCCAAGGCCCAGGCCTGTTTTCCGAGGGCCTCCACTGCTCCGACACGGTATCTTTATATTATAGGCTGCCAAAAGGAAAGCACGCGCTCATCTAACAATACAGGTTGCGACCCCCCCCCCCCCCCACATCAGCAACTGGAAGGAGCTGTAAGGGGCTTTTCTCCAACTACGACAAGATACTCGCGTAAGCAGCTTGTAGTAGAAACCAACTGTTATTTTAAGCCCTAGACAGATGATTGTGCACTTCGCAATAGCACCCTCACGTTGTTCAGACAAGATATCTCACATTACTATTATTATTAATTATTGTGCATATTCTTACGGCGATTGCCAGCTATCTTTTCGTGTTTCGAAGGCAACGACAGCATCCGCCAACAACGCCCAGTATCCACCCGAACTCAACTTAGGTTTTTCGTTAGCGAAGTGTGTCTGTTTAGAGCTTAAAATAACAGTTATTCCTACTAGAAGCTGTTTACGCAAGTGCCTTGTCGTAGCTAGAGAAAACCCCCCTCACAGCTTCTTCGTCTGTGTGCAACAGTTGCTGATATGGATGTCGCAATCCTTTTTCAAGCGTGCGATGTACAGATATCGTGTCGGAGCAGTTGAGGCCCTCGGAAAATTGGCCGGGCCGATAGAGTTTGGACTCTGCTTTTTCTGTTCGGACAGATTCCATCCAAGTCTGATTGGCCTACCGAGTCGTGAAGAGACAACATAGCGATGTGGGAAATTAACATAGCAAGCATATGATAGAAGATGCGGGGTGGGCTTAGTGCGTAGCTGCTTCCTAAGACAAATCTGGGAGTTAGACGGTATTTAGAAGGGGAAGAGTAACACCAACAGAAAAATACACTCACAACTGGAAGTAATAACGTGACTAATTCAGAGAATTCGGCTAGACACAGCTCAGGATAGTTCCTGATCTGTGTCCCGCCGCCAAACAGGCGAACATCTCGTGTGCCGTCGCCAACCTTATAAAAACTAATCAATATCAAACAGATTATTAGAACAGTGACGAGGTACGGCATTGCTGATCATCCTACAAGATGGTGTTCGAGTCAGTTGTCGTTGACGTACTCAACCGGTTTGTCGGATCGTACGTTGAGAATCTCGACGCTTCGCAGCTAAAGATCGGCATTTTTGGAGGTAAGTGCATAGAGTAAAAGAATCGACAGACCATATAAATAATGACTCTAAACGTCAGTTGCTTTTAAGTATGAAACTACATTTATCGGTGAGTCAGAGCAGGATACTTAATCCTGAGTTTGTGTAGGCAGACACCGCTTGATGTTCCTACTTTTTACGGCGCCGAACCGTTCCCGCTCGCCTGCCCGCTCTATGCTAGTGGAAATGTGCGGAAAAAGAACAGGTGTGTAACCTCTGCTATTTTACAGCTCCTAATGTGATGGCCACAGCAATTTGACTGCGGTTCATTTTTTCATGCTCGTGACTGGCGACTTTTTTGACTTCATAAGGCAGAACCTGTTTCAGCTGCCGTGAAAAAACAATACGCGCATAGACACATCAACTGTTATTGAAGCGTACGATTCCACTGGGAGATACGGATAAACATCTAGTGTGACGATATTGGAACGTGGAACGCCAGCGTGTACGCCAGCTCTAAAAGGCGCAAGTATATTAGTCATTGATCTACACATGTACGTGTAGCCAACAGGTTTTGGCTGTTGCTAAATGCTTCCTCTAGCTATCCAGATATCAAGCACACAATTAGTTTGCAGCAGTAGAGGACACTCGGCAAACCGAAAACGCCTGCAGGCATAATATACTCCCCTGAGATGACTGGTTAACGATGGTGACTTGACAAACAGCCGTCATGCGCGATTAATGCAGAGATTTTGAAAGTACTGTTTCAGCTTTTCTGAGTACATGGATAGGCACTAAGGTAAAAATCACGTGAAAAATAACCTATTGGATGAGCCAACTTTTCGTGTGTTACTTGAATTTGATAATTTTTTCAGGGACAGAATTTTTTTTGTCAGTTCTCCATTATAACAAGCAGGCAGTGTTCAACGTTCTTCCAACGTTTTTGCCAACATGTTTTCAAATGGTGTCCTTTGTCATGCGTATTCATTAGTTCATTTTTTTTGTTTGCAAACAAATGCGACAGAGCATCTCGTTCTGCCGATTTATATTCCATATGACATTATCTAGGGCTACTACCTACTAGACCTGTATCTCAGACAGCTAAATGTGGAGTACAGTTACGCTTACCATATAAACTAAATTAAACTCTGCGTATTGGTTTATGATACGTTTTGAATTAGCGTGATGGATCTAGTTGTCGAAGGCAGACAAAGAAGACGCTGATTCGGTTAAAAGCTATCTCGACTTATGTTCATTGTATTGCATTTCGTCGTAACAGCTGAAGCTTACGCAAAGCATCATGATGACATATGCTATATAAAAAAAAAGATGTTCATATTTCGATTTTGGGTCTCTACCAGATCGGATCTGTCCGATTGATATTAGTTGGCGTTAATGTGATACTCTTCGCAATGAACCACGGACAATATCCCTTTGCTAATATTCGCAGATCTTGCCAATAGGTTTACTCAAAATTATTTTAATTTTTTTTTTTTTCGTTGTGCATAACCCTACTAAATTAATCGACTAGGAAAATAAAAGCATTAGAAAATCACAGACTTCCATATCATCTTTATGCCGACATCTGTTGCGTATTAGAGTTTATAGTAGTGTTGGGGGCGTTGCCGTGCTGAATAGTGACTTCGTACCAATGATCGTTTTTCACCATTGATATTTATACTTCCCTTTTGCAGCTTTTGTCATTTTGAAATTTGAGTAGAAACTCGTCGTCGTACTTTTCCGCTTTAGCTCGTTGATGAACAGGCGTGGCGCAAACAGAGCCAATGGACGCCTGCTGGCGGAACGCTTACGGGCTAGTTGCCAACCCTTTCCACGGTCATTAGTAGTGCCGACTCTGAAGCCCTTAGCAACACAGTCCTCAGATCTGTGCTGCCGTGGCGATCGCTATGATGTTCCCTGTTCTGTCAATGACGCCGTCGCTCATTTCTGTGGAACTTTTAGTTCGTTTCATATACGCTTCCACTGCAGATAGTCGAACATTGTTTCGCATGATTTCTTGCTTCTTCTTGTTCTTCCTTCAGGAGCTGCTGTTAATTAGGGAAAAATTTTTCGGCAGAACTAAAATTGGCTGCCAGAAACCTGCTGTAGTCACTGTGTGCATATATGTATATATTGGGGCGTAGCGCACTCACACAGTGCTTCTAAATGGCGCTTTTGAATCCCGGATTCATATGGATGTGTTTGTCGTTACCTTTTGATAACACGAAAATCCCGTTGTCGTTATAAGCAAGCCGCCACTTAGGACAGTACAAACGTAGATATAAGTATTGCTGTTGTCGTTGCTGAACGAAATTATGTTTCAAGCCGTCAAATATTCAGGCTGCCCCGTTTGAAATCAGTGTATTGCTTTACAATAGCCTTTTCCGCTGATTGCATTGACGTCGCCGGAACTTAGCGCATGCTATAATCGAGTTTCACGTATTTGTTCATTGATTTCCAATATAGCAAAAACTACATACTTTTAGCCATGTGTAAAAGTGATCAGTGCTACCAAAAAAAGGCTGTAGCCAAATAGCCCCGATTACAATAAATACATGGTACAGTCGATATCATAAAGGACTATTGGCTCTATGTCAATGCGATTTAACGATGATCTAATGACGTAACTAGTGATTCAGCTCTGCTGGAGTTCTCTAGAACATTTAATAGGGATACGGTGGTGTCGTTGAAGATTATGACGATTTTGCCGTGGAGCCGTCACAGACATTCACTTCGTATATGAAGAAGTAGCAACAGTAATAATAATAGTTGCAGTAGCAGCAGCAGCAATAAAATGTAAAAAATACGCGTACGACGGAACTTAGAAGCATCACGTAATGTGTTGGTTTGAGAAACCGGCAGTTGGATACAGCCATAAATCCTAATTATTTTGTAGTAACCACACCATCTGCGTCCCTTTCGCGTTGCAGTCTCATATTGTACACCTTACCTTGAAGCACAGTATTATTATACTTGGTTCGGTAAAAAAGTATCGATCGCCTCGTAACACTCATAAGGCTTTATGGTACAAACTTGTTTTGAGCTTGTATTTTCGCCGCAGTAATTTTTCTGAGAGTCTTCTGGGTCATACTTTTTCTGGTGGTTTTTTCATAGTCGATAGGTAATTAATAGTCGAGCTAAGGCTACGTTATTTCGCTACGTATTGGTCGACAGATACAAGAAGACCAACTGTTAGAAAAAAAGAAAGGACATTTTGAAATATCTGTGGCTCAATTCACTCAATTTTCTTATAATTGTAGACCGAAGCAAGAGATAAAATCACTGAGATCGGATTGTTCTCGCTTTCGATGAGCTAGCTTGCACACGATATTCGATTAACACCAATGAAAATGTCATGTCGTGAGAAATTCTAATACTATTAAGTTTTGGCGGAACGTCGCGGCATTCTTCCAAAAGAGATGCGGAATCGCGTAACGGCACACTTTCAAACGGTATGCAAGTTCTACTAATCAGACTAGCCTCTATCTCATAAGTTAAATATTAACCAAGTGACAAGTTTATAGGGATAAACACTGCTTGCTTCACTCCTTGTGTGTTCACTAGGTAGATCTCTGTAAAGCGTTTCTTGTAATGTTTCAAATTTTGCTTTATTAAGCTTCATCGTTGTTGGAATTAACTTCTTTGCAGCATTTAGATCCGTCTATTCAATTCAGCTGAACCATTGATTAATATGGGGCAATATAACATTGCCCTTCTAAGATGTGCGCAGACAAGGCCGGCGCATGATGTCGCCCGCAGTGTTGGAGAAATAAAGTTGATTAGCTGCTTAGATTATTCGAGCAGTGTCTTATACCTTAAAGGCCTCTCTTATTTGGTCATAACTGAATGATGCTGACAAACCTCTGTTGATGACGGCCAAGTGGCCACTTACCTACCACATCTCGAAGGACAAAGCTTTAGCACCACGTTTTTAAGACGTCGAGGTGAGCCGACCCGCTTGACCTTGTACATCACGATACTTTGGGCAAAGGCCTTTCCTACTTTAATTTTAGTAAATCGAAGGCTAGTGTTTTTGAACCACAGTGCTGCTGCAGATATGTTCGAATGTAGTATCTAAGATAGTTGGTAAGATAAAGGGTTACGAAGAATATGTCGCATAGATACAGTGAGCCTGCAATGTTCTGCTCAATTGATAAAGGACCATATTTATCAAGACGCTCCAGGACACTGACCTTTCGTGTTTGTATTCGCATGTTACTCTCCCAGTAAAAAAAAAGCAAACGTACCATGTGTTCATTTGAAGTGAAGACCACTAATGGCTTGAAAGAATATAGACACAAAAATACTGAGGCCCGGTAAGGTTGGCTGGTTACACGGCCTGTATTCTTTCTATTAACAGCTCTCTAATTGCTTATGTACAATGCAAAGCTCACTTGCATCCGAGCTACTGAGGAATCAACGAGAACAAGCAGAGGATCTTGTCCGTCTTTTTATTTCTTGTAATGTAGTGATCTTGTATAGGGGATGATGCATCTGCAAGTAGGCATAAAAATAAATTGCGTGATGCGCGAGGAGTTCTTTTGTTGTCCAGCAATACTCCTAGTAGCCAGGCTTGTTTTCATCGATTTGTTCAATGAAGCACCAGCATTGGACAAAGCCCGTTCTATATGCTGTATCTTTTGAAATCGTCACGCGCATTTTACAATGATATCAATAAACAAGTCAAGGTCAGTATTCGTTGGCGTCTTGTTGCGCTCGCTTGTGTGTCTCATGTATTAATTCATGTTTTCGCGGAGGTGCGTGGGTAGCTATGCATTATACGACGAGCTGAGTTGTACGTATCCCTTGGCCCTGGTCGATTAGCGGCTCAAGCGGAAGATGACACCACGGCGTGACACTGGTGTGGTACTAACAGGAAACAGCTTAGCTTTGCATTGTGGCGCCGTTTTCTTCAGCCATCATTAAGTGGTTAAGAAAAGCAAGCTACGGCGAAAGGAGCCGAAGGGAGGTCGATAGTTCTCTGCTGTAATGAACGCCGCCGAATACAGCAGTGTTTAGGGAAATATTAGCGGCGAACACCA